GCCACTTCTGGCCTTTTCCGTTTAGGTGGTGCTGAGGAATTGAATCCAGGGCTTCACGCATGCTAGGCAAGCAACTCTACCACTAAGCCACATACCCAGCCCCCACCAGGATTTTGAACCCCAGAGTGCCTGCCTGCCTGCAGAGTTTATCAGCAGTCCTAAGAGCTTGCACAGCTTTCGTGGTCTTTCCTGATCAGACGTAAACTGCACACAAGCATGTGGCATCTGGTGTTGACAGGGCGCCAGCTGCTGGGCTACAGATGTCAAAGATGAGAAATGGCTTGGCCCAAGGCCTGACTCATTAATCTCTAATACAAATAGAAATTTCTCGGATGCTTTAAAGGAGTTTTTGTCGCTGCCTGGAGACTGAGAGTGTTACTAACCTCCTCCTTACAACATTATTTATGGACAAACATTAGCTGGGCAACCTGCAAGGTAAAATCTTCGTGACTGGACCTGTTAGCTGATTGTGTTTAAATGATCAACGGAACAGCTGGGTAAGGTACAACAATACTATACAAAGGGTTCCAGCTGCCCCACGGTGGAGAAATCAAATTTGCAGCCTCAAGTTCCCTCTTGCTATTGTTCATTCATGTTTCAGAGGAAGAAAAATGGCAAGCCCATGAGTTGGGAGTGTGGCTTAGTGGTGGAGTGCTTGCCTAGCATGCATGAAACCCTGGGTTCAATTGCTTAGTACCATATAAACAGAAAAAGCCAGAAATGGCACTGTGGCTCAAGTGGCAGAGTGCTAGCCTTGAGCAAAAGAAGCTCAGGGACAGTGTCCAGGCCCTGAGTCCAAGTCCCAGAACTGGCAAAAAAAAAAAAAAAGGGGGGGGTGGCAAGCCCAGGAGGAAAGCAAGAACCTTAACCTGTCATCACCTTCCCACCCACCTGGAAGCCTTGACCAGCCCCCATACCTGTGGCTTTCTGGAGGACTAGGACAGCTACTGACCTCTCTGTGCCCATAGGGACTGGGTGCCATGATCGGCACACAGAAGGGTTCCATGTATATTTGTTGAACAGAACTTTTCTTTCTCTGTCACTCTCTGGTTGTGGGGTTTGGACTCTGGGCCTCTGCATGCTAGGTATCTCCTCTACCGCTTGACCAGACCCCAGCCCTTTTAGCTTTTAGGGTTTTTGCTTTTATTGAAAAGGCTCTGCTCTTCTATCCAGGGTCAGCCTCAGACCATGTTCCTTCTACAGCCTCCCACATAATGAGGAGGACAGGTGCACAGTACCGCACCTAGCTTGTTTGTTCAGATGGGGTCTGGCTAACATTTTTGTCTGGGCTGACCTCAAACCACAACTCTCTTGATCTCTGCCTCCAAAGTAGTTGGAATTAAAGGCTTGAGCCATGTAGCCTGGATGAAAACAATTATTTCTGAGCCACTTTGCCTACTTACAGATATTCTTCACATGACAACAGAGACATGCCATTGTGGCCATTTGATTGTTTTAGATTCCATCCTGTGCTCCGTCTGATTAAAGACATAGCTCACTAACAAACTTTGGTCAACAGTAGGATAGCAAAGGGGACACACCCAGAGCTGGGACTGTGAGACAGTCTGGTTTTCTCACTTTACTTAAAGAACTGAAGCCAGAGAGACAAAGCCATGGGACAACAGCAGGGGCCAGGCTGAGAGCGCCCTCCTTGACTTCTCCAGCCTTACCCCCACCCAGCCTGCCACGCCTGCCACCTGTTTAACACCACAGAGAGAAGACCATGCAGCTCTTTATGAAAGTGGTCAGGATTAAGTGGGCCAGGGAAGTCAAAGCAGAGAATGAACAATAGTAAAGAATTGTAGGCAGTTTAGATTGTGTAGTGAAAGGTAATCTGTTTTCCCAAAAATAGCTATGAATAGAAGCCATCGGCATTTCTGGGAGCTACTTTGAAGACAACCTCCAACTCCAGTACATTGGGAAAGAAACACGGCCAGGCTCTGAGGTCACCTGCCAGCAAGAGCAAGGCCACTGAGGTAATAGGTACAACCCCTCTCCCCCCTGCATCCCCTCCCCTGGAGCACTCATGATAACTAAGAGACCTTTGTTGAGAACTTTTCATGCTCGAGGCCTGCCCTGGGCACTCTGTGTGGTGCCAATAGCATGCTAGGACATGGCCACGAACATGACCACCTCTGTCCTCTGCTGTGTCACCACAGGGATGGAGGTGCTCATGCATGCTAGGCAAGGGTTCTACCCTCAGCTACAGCTCCATCCTCGTCTAAAGTTTATCTGTGACAGTCTCCCTAAGTTGCCCTTCCTGTCTTCAAATTTATGATTCTTGCCTCAACCTCCCTAGTAGCTGAGATTACAGGCGTAAGCCACCATACCTAGAGAGGTAAACTTGAAAATTAGGCAACTTTGATTCCAGAGTCTTGCTTCTAACAATTACACCCTGAACCAAGACCCAATTTACTGACTGCATAATAGCAAATGTATGTTGGGGGGGGGGCAGTGCCATGAACCACATGCTGCTCTTTCTCCCAGGTTAGCCAAACTCATGAGTTAGATGGGTGACCTCTTTCTCCTTCTTCCATCAGAGCCTCTCCAGAGATGGGTCCCATATAGAGAAGAGATGTGGGTTATAGTCAGGGCTCAGGCACAGCAGTGCTTTCCTGGGGACAACTGTATGCTCACCATGAACAATATATATGGAAACATACATTTCAATATACATTGAAAGGGGGACCAAGGAAATCAAAGAATCTGTCCTCAAGGCTCTTAAAATATCAATGGAGACTGGCATGTGTAAAATTAAGTATATGTGCATGTGGGTTAAGAATGTCTTAATCAAAGCTATCTTAATTTGCCATAAAACGAGGAACAGATGAATTCTCTGAAATCTGAGCACTGGGCCTAGCAGGGAACTGCCAGTCTGAGATAGGCATCATGGAGCTGAGTGCACAAAAACAAAACAGAACTGAAACAGGTGGGGAAGAGGAGCGGAAGAAGTGTCTTCTGAAGAAAGAAGGCATGTTTGAACAGTGGCAAGGAAGTGAGTGTGAGTGGGGGACAAGGACTGGCTCAGTGTGGCTGGAGGCAGTGCCTGGGAAGGAGGCAGATCAAGGGCAGGAGACAGACAGGAGAAGGCTAGGCTGGTGCTCTTGCTTCATCGTGTGAATGCCTCTTTGTCAAACAATGTACTGTGGGACAGTGCGGCACCCCAAATTATTCCTTAAAGGATGCCTCCCCCACCAAAGGGTCATGTGGTAAAGGCTGGATCTCCTGAGTGATGCTTGCTCTCAAAGGTGTTAGAGGGCGCGTGCTATGGAACTCCAGCCCATTCCTGGCTTTGCTCTACCACAGACTCCTACCATAAGGTACTGCCTTGCCACAGGCCCAAAGCAATAGGGCCAACTGATCCTGGGCTAGAACCTGCAAAACTGTAAGTGGAAGTAAATCTCTTTGTGTTATCACTTGTCTCAGGTGTCTCATTATAGTGACAGAAGGCTGACATGATTTGCTATCCAAATTCTGACAGGTCTGCCTGAGGTGAAGAGACAAGGTATCAGAGAGAGAGAGGCCTGTGAGGAGTATTGGGCTGAGTGGATCAAGGGGCAGCCAGCTGGAGACAGCTCTAACGTGGTGACTAGGAGGTGACAAGGGCCATGTAATGACAAGGCCTCACAGAAAAACAGAATGTTTGCCAAAACGTGTATAAAGTGTATAAAGTAGCTCCTCAGCATGTAAAAGCAGCATTGGGTCCAGGCACAGGTTCTTCTCAGACAGGGACTCCAACTGAGGGACACCATTAACTTGGGATTGCTTCTCCAGGCTCCAGGAAGTGTCATATCAATTAGGCTTCCAGTCTGCTAACATTTGAGTGTCTTTTTTTTTTTTTTTTTTTGCCAGTCCTGGGGCTTGAACTAGGGCCTGGGTACTGTCCCTGAGCTTCTTTTGCTCCAGGCTGGTGCTCTACCACTTGAGCCAAAGCATCACTTCTGGCTTTTTTTTTTACTGTGTATGTGGTACTGAGGAATTGAATCCAGGGCTTCATGCATGCTAGGCAAGCACTCTACCACTAAGCCACATTCCCAGCCTTTGAGTGTCATTTTGAAACATTTAATCTGGATTTGAATCCCAGCTCTGCCACTTGCCCCTGATCATGGTGTGAGGCTCTGCCACCCTCCATTTTTTTCATGTGCAGAAAGCTACTGACAGGAACAGGGGGAACTGGGTGACAGCACTCTGCAAAGGGTCTGACACAGACCAGAGGCTTGGCCAACATTAAATGTCTTTTTTTTTTTTTTTTGGGTCCAGTCCTGGGCCTGAACTCTGGGCCTGGGCGCTGTTCCTCAGCTCTTCAGCTCAAGGCTAGCGCTCTACCACTTGAGCCACAGAGCCACTTCTGGCTTTTTTCTTTTTGCTTATGTGGTGCTGAGGAATCAAACCCAGGGCCTCATGCATGCAAGGCAAGAGCTCTACCACTGAGCCACCTTCCCAGCCCCATTAAATGTGATGAGTCCTGGTAGACTGAACACTGGGCATGAGTTGCTTGCTTGACAGTGGGCACAGGGTACACGTGGAGAAGCTAGAGCAGGAGGAACAATCAGAGCCAAATGAGAAGTGAGGAGTGCTTTCATTAGTTCACACAACACAGGAATGAAAACCTGAGAAAGCCAGGAGATGCTAGATGCACAGAAGAAGGGCAGGAGGGATGCCACGCAAGGGGATATTCTCTTCAGGGCCCTGGTGACTAGACAGATGGAAGCTATTAATTTTGTTGTTTTTGTTGCTGCTGCTGCTGTTGTTGTTGCCAGTCCTAGCATTCTACCACTTGAGCCACAGTGCCACTTCTGAATTTTCCGTGTACATAGTACTGATGAATCAAACCCAGGGTTTTATGCATTCTAGGCAAGTACTCTACCACTAAGCCACATTCCCAGCCACAGTTGTTACATTTTGAATGCAACAACTTGATGGCACTAAGGTCATGGCTGCCCTCTGATTTGGGAGTAACTGAGAATTTGAAATAAAGAGACCCTGGCCATACAACTCACCTCAAAGCACTTTTCTATCTTTGCTTGGTGAAGCAGGCTGACCATTCCAGAAAGCAGAACTGGAAAGATGAAATTTTCCAAATATTCTTTGGGGGAGCCTAAAATAAATAGACAACAAACTCATTCCTACTGCAGATTCCAAATGACCCATGTTTATCTGGAGAGATGTTTGCTGCTTTGGTACCACCCCGGGGTATAAGGAAAGAGTGCTGAGACGGGAGCTGGGGGAAAGATATAATGACCATGGCAGTGAGTGGCCAAGACCCAACATGCGGGTGCAGGCACAGAACAAACCACCAGCAGCAGGCCAGGTACAAGGAGTGGGCCTGAGGAGCTGGGGGAGGAAGACCCCCAGCCTACAGCTCAGGGAGGAGCAACAAGGCATTTTCTCCCCATTTTGCATTTGTTCCTCTTCCTTTCCTTCTCCTTTATAGTTCACCTAGTCAAGAGTATGCGCATTGCTATTATCATCTCAAATTTTTTATGGTGATACTGGAGGTTGTAATTAGGGCCTTACACCTATACAGACAGGTGCTCTGCCCCTTAAGACATGCCCCAGGCTTTTTCAGATAGGAACTAGCAATTTTTGCCCAGGCCAGCCTCAGATCACAGTCCTCTATATTATGCTTCCTGAGTAGCCAGGATTATAGATGTGTACTACCACCTCTGGCTTGTTTTGCTGACACAGAGGTCTTGCTAACTTTTTATCTTACTGATTCTCTTAATCTGTCATTTCCTGAGTAGCTGGGATTGCAGGTGTGAGCCATGACACCTAGCCCTCTCTATTATATTTTAAACTTCAAGATAAATCAGTGGCATGAGGGGATTTCTTTTAGAAATAAGGATTCTCATTTAGGAAGATTCTCTGAGGTCTATCTAATCACCCCTTTCCCTATCTCATGGTTCTAGAATGTTACAACCCCAATGATAAAAGATGACACTGGAGTTTCTTTCTTACATGTTTTTGGATCGAGTGTCACCAATTCCTTCTGAGGACAGGGTACATGTGAGTCCACAGGGGTTTGGGCTGCCGGCACTAAATGCTCTGCCCTGATGCTGGGAAACACCAATTCCTCCAGTGGGGAAACCTGGTGTGGGCAGGGAGCAGAGTTAATTCATAGAAACAGTTTAATCATTGCAGTCTTTAAAGACAAACTTACAAGGGAATACAACTCTGGGTCAGACTTTATGGCTATAGGTCTTTGTCTTCTTAGACATGACTCCTGAGACATGACTTTTTTTCTAGAAAAGATTAAGAGGGCTATCTGTGGGGAAGATACTGGCCAGCCAGTCCAAAATAGGCAGGATGAAGGGTGGTTCCACAAGTGAAGGGAAGAGGTAGGCACAGCACTCAACAAGCCTTAAGGACTCAAGTTCCTCTTCCCACCACAAAGGGGCCTCAGCTGTCAGAATTGCCAGGCACAGAGGGGGAAAAAGGGGAGAGAATGGGTAAAGTGAGGATCTGGCAGGGCTCCATAGGCCTGCCCTCTGCCCATACCTCTCAACATGAGGACATGTCCCTCATACCAGCATCCATGTGCATGTGTCAGTCCTGGGGCTTGAACTCAGGACCTGAGCACTGTCGCAGAGATTTTAAGTGCTCAAGGTTAGCATAGTACCATTCGAGCCACAGCTCCACTTCCTGCTTTTTGGTGGCTAATTAAAGGTGAGAGTCTCATGGACTTTCCTGCCTTAGGGTGGCTTCAACTATGACCCTCTGATCTTAGCCTAGGATTACAGGCATGGGTTGCCAGTACCTGGTTCAGAGCCTTACTTAAAATTTTTTTTAGCTCCATTAAGTGTTTATTTAATTTCAAGGTTTATTTCCAAGGTTCTCCCCTCCTGGCCTGGCCTGGCCTCTCTCTTCCAGTCTTCATCTATCCTACCCAGGTGTGCAGACAAATTTGCTCTGTCTGCATCTGGCCCCAACACAGACAGAGTGCTGGACACCCAAGATCCCATGATCCAGGCAATGAGTACCCAACCCACTGAAGAGATGCAGTCACCCCATCAGTGCAGCTAGCAGGGACCTGTGTTCAAGTCATAGCTCCAGTGCCTTCCCTTTCCCACCTCCCCAACTCTGGACACTGGATCCTCACAGGCTACCTGTGTCCTTCTCACTTCAGAACCTCTGATGAAGGTTGAGGCCTAATCAATACTCACAGGAACTGCAGCTTCCGGTTTGACTTTACATTCTAGAAAGGAAGGCAGCTCCGCTTCATACTCTAAAGGAGGGGGGAAAAAACACCCTCAGTTCACACTTCAGTGTGTGTTGTGATGTCAATTTTCTCTGAGTAGCGCAGAGGAAGAGAATGGAGAGGGAGGTTAAGTAAAGGCACCAAAAGTACCACTGAACAGAGAGGAACATGAAGAATGCCAGTGCTACAGGCTCCAACAACTACTGCTGAAAGTATCTTTTTTTTTTTGTCAGTCATGGGGCTTGAACTCTGGGTCTGTCCCCCAGCTCTTCAGCTCAAGGCTACCACTTGAGCCACAGTGCCACTTCTGGTTTTCTGGTGGTTTATTGGCGATAAGTGTCTCTCAGACTTTCCTGCCTGGGCTGGCTTTGAACTGTGGTCTTCAGATCTCAGCCTCCTGAGTAGCTAGGATTACAGGCATGAGCCACTGGTGCCTGGCTGAAAGTATAATTCTTTTTGGTTTTTGTCGGTTGTGGGGCTTGAACTCTGGGCTTGGGTGCTGTCCGTGCGCACTTCAGCTCAAGGCAAGCGCTCTACCGCTTGAGCCCCAGTGCCACTTCTGGTTTTCTGGTGGTTACTTGGAGATAAGAGTCTCACAGACTTTCCTTTCCCTGGCTGGCTTTGAACTGCTATCTTCAGATCTCAGCCTCCTGAGTAGCTAAGATTACAGGTGTGAGCCCCAGTGCCCAGCTTGAAAGTATAATTCTTTTTGGACAATGTCACCCCTTCCCTCACTCTTTTCCAGTTTTCCCCTCCCATCCATACCCACAAGTTGTATAGTTCATTTTCAACAGTGAACACTACTGTTGCATTTGTTCACCCTTTGTCCCTCCATTTGTATCCCCACTTGTCCTCCCAAAGACAGATAAACCAAGATAAAAAGAAAAGGAGGCTGGGAAGGTGGCTCAGTGGTAGAGCGCTTGCCTTGCATGCCTGAGGCCCTGGGTTCGATTCCTCAGCACCACATAAGCAAAAAAGAAAAAATCTGGAAGAGGTGCTGTGGCTCAAGTGGTAGAGCGCTAGCCTTGAGTTGAAGAGCTGAGGGACAGCACCCAGGCCCAGAGTTCAGGCCTCACGACCGGACCAAAAAAAAAAAAAAAAATTTAAAAAAGAAAAGAAAACAAGAACAGCAACAAAGAAATCCCTGTTTTCTGGAGTTCATGTTGGTAAATATTATTTTATATGATCAGATGCTAGGCATTGTGCATGGCTGTGACCTTGGTTGAGAGTTAAGGTCCTTTTCCTTGCAGTTGTCGATCTGACATCCTGGTGATCTTGGTGGCTGTCAGCTGGGGACTGCTCAGGTCCTTTGAGGCCACATCTGGTTCCTGGCCATGGGCAGCGCACATAGGATTGGTGCTACTTCAAAGACAGTGGGGAGTCACTTCTGCCTGAACCTGACTTCTTCCAAGGGCTCACCTACAGTAACCTCCCTAAAATACACTAACAACTTTAGATACATCTGGAGAATCTTTTCACAGAAAGGTCTTGATTGGTGTGCAGATGACTGAGACATGTGACATTGTGAGAGGCGGTTGAGAACTTTGGGGGCTGTGTTAGACTTATCAACCTGATCTTCCCTTTCAGGCAAGTATTTTTTTTTTTTTTTTGGTCCAGTCATGGGGCCTGAACTCTGGGCCTGGGCGCTGTCCTTCAGCTCTTCAGCTCAAGGGTAGCGCTCTACCACTTGAGCCACAGCGCCACTTCCGGCTTTTTTCTTTTTTCTTATGTGGGGCTGAGAAATCGAACCCAGAGCCTCAGGCATGCAAGGCAAGCGCTCTACCACTGAGCCACCTTCCCAGCCCCATCAGGCAAGTATTTTATTTATTTATTTATTTTTTTTGTCAGTCATGGGCTTGAACTCTGGGCCTGAGCGCTGTCCCTCAGCTCTTCAGCTCAAGGCTAGCGCTCTACCACTTGAGCTACAGCACCACCTCCTCAGGCAAGTATTGAATTTGCCCCTCCCCCATAGTGCCATAACAACCACTGAGATGGTGTGAAAACCACCTAATTGGGTTTCTGATAAACTACATATATTTATATTTATGTCCAGAAGCAGGAACAATACCAACCTATTGGGAAAAAAATTCAGAGAATGTTGACTTGCCTAATATAGAGTGAAGCTCATATCTAATCCCATTGTAACCCTATCAGCATTGTTAAATTTGCCATAGATCTAACCAAATATTTTCCATGAATCTACTAATATACAATGCATTCGCTCTAAATCTCCCAGACTAGGTCAAACTGCTCAAGCATACAACCTTTTAATTCTCAGGGTGCACCAGTCACCCAGCTATGGGTTAAGAACAGAGCCTGGCAAACTCTTCTGCCTAAGCTGACCTTGAACCTCAATCCTCCAGTTTTTAGTCTCCCAAGTAGCTAGGATAACAAGCATGAGCCATCAACATCCAGCCTCATTTTATTTTTATTTTATTTATTTTTTTGGGGGGGGGCCGGTCGTGGGGCCAGAACTCTGGGTCTGGGCGCTGTCCCTCAGCTCTTCAGCTCAAGGCTAGCGCTCTACCACTTGAGCCACAGCGCCACTTCCAGCTTTTTTCTTTTTGCTTATGTGGTGCTGAGGAATCGAACCAAGGGCCTCAGGCATGCAAGGCAAGCGCTCAACCACTGAGCCACCTTCCCAGCCCCCACCCTTAGCATTCTTAAGGAAATCAAATATATTTTAAGTGTTTATAGTCGCCACGTTATTGAAGCTTATAAATAGAATTCCAAGAAATTAGTTATGTGCATTTTAAATAAACTTTAAGGGGAATGGTTGTCCATCTCAATAATCTGTTAAGTGGAAACTCCAGGGCCCAGTGAATGAACACTGGATCATGGGAAGGGCAAGGAATGTGTGTAAGTGAACCTAGTATGGACCTGGCATCTGAATAGATGACAGCGTCCTTCACTGAGTCAGAAAAAAAGCTGTTAGGTCTAGAAATGCCTAGGGCCAGGGAAGAATGTGCTAGAAGCCAGTGTGGCCTGAGCAGACAAGGATGGGAATGGAAGTGGTAGAAAAAAAAATAGTATGGCTCTTTCTAGAAGCTTGCATGAGAGAAAGGCAAATTGATAGGTGCTAAAGATGGCACAAGATGGGCTTTTATGCTGAAATGACAGGTCAGAGGGTATTGAGGGAATAGCTAATAAAGACAGGGACCAGGCAATGAGAAAAGCCAGTGATACGTGCAGACTGATAAGCTGAGCTGAGCAGGCCGGTGTTGTCTTCAGGTGTTGTCCAGAGGAACTTGCAATTCAGAATTGATCTGTACTGGAACCTGGTAGGTAGGATGAGGGATCAGATTGTCTAACAGTGTTGGGTCTGATGAGCTGAGCTAGACAGTGTTTGGCTGATTAAACAATGAACCACAGGCAATAAAGAGAACACTGACACCAGTAATCACAGCAACATCAAAACAGAAAACCGTGCGTCCCAAACAGACTCAGTCTGGGTCAATCATAAATATTAAAAGTCACTCTCAGACTCAATTCAAAAGTCTTGGAAGGAAAGAAGTTTATTGATGTTTATTTAACACATGTTTTGGAGAATACCAAGTCATTAGTCATTACCAAAAGGTGAGAGCAAAACACATATCTGCCCCACCTCACCTCCAGTCCCATGCACAGGGGCACATGCCTGTTGAAGTCATATATTTATTTATATTGTGGTTTGTCTTTATGAATTTGAGTTTCTGATGGGTCTGTCATCATTTACTTTTTCATTGAAATCATCCTAATAAAACTAACATTTAATCTCAAATATAAAGTTACATAATTCCTGTTCATGTTTCCTTTAAGCTTAATGCATTCATTTTATGTTCATTACACACAATTTCAGTTGTTTTATGTTTAGGATTTTTGGAGGGAGTATTGGGGTTCAAATTCAGGGCCACTGCTAGCCAGGTGCCCTTTGAGTCATGCTTCTGGCACTTTTCTTTCCTTGGTCATGAGGCTTGAACTCAGGGCCTGGGCTCAGTCCCTGAGCTTCTTTTGCTCCAGGCTAGCACTCTACCACTTGAGCCACAGCTCCACTTCTGGTTTTCTGGTGGTTAAAGGGAGGTAAGAGTCTCATAGACTTTCCTGCCCAGGCTGGCTTTGAACCACAATCCTCAGATCTCAGCCTCCTGAGTAGCTAGGATTACAGGCAGGAGCCACTAGGACCCACCTTCTCTATTTCTTTTGATAGGTAACTCTCCTCCTTCATGTACTAGTGCAGTAATTTGTTTCCATTCAGAAAATATTTACTGATCTGTGAGCTAAAGCATGTGGTGATTTATTAAAATTAAGTAAAATAAGAAAGTGTGAAGTGACTCACATCTGTAATCTCAGCGACTCCTGAGTCATTGAGGAAGGAAGCCTAGCCTGGACAAAACACAAAAACAAGAATATGAGACTCTATCTGAAAAAAGTAACCTAGTGCAAAAAAAGATCTGGGCTGGATGACAGAGTACCTATGTAGTAGTCATAAGACCCGCAGTCCAAACCCTAGTAATAAAAAAATTCAGTTCTTCCATTGCACCAAGCACATCTTAATAATCAGGGCTGGGAATGTGGCTTAGTGGTACAGTGCTTGCCTAGCATGCATGAAGCCCTGGGTACGATTCCTCAGTACCACACACATACACACACACACACAGAGTCAAAACTCAATAACTACACATGGCTAGAAGCTGGCCATGTTTCATGAAGTGGATTTCTTGAGAGTTCTATTTAGTGCTGTTTCAGACAGGTAATGTGCTGATGGTGGCCACCAGAATATCGTTTCTCCCAGCTTCCCTTGGGAAGGTGAAGCAAGAGAATTTTCTGCTTGAGGCCACTTTGGACTCCACTGGGGGACTGTCTCAAAGAAAGAAAAAAGAAGAATGAAAAGAAAAATATGTGTCATCACCCTGAGAAGCTCACAGCCTAGGAAACTAGTACCAAAATAAATTAAAAAAAAAAAAACAACACACACACACCCAACCTTGTTGAATTAATCCTATTTGCGCTCTAGCAGTAAATTAAAGGTTTGCAAAGCACTTTTGATTCTTTTTTTTTTGTTGGTCGTGGGGCCTGAACTGTAGGCCTGGGCGCTGTCCCTCAGCTCTTCAGCTCAAGGCTAGCGCTCTACCACTTGAGCCACAGCACCACTTCCACCTTTTTCTGCTTATGTGGTGCTGAGGAATCGAACCTAGGACCTCATGCATGCAAGGCAAGCGCTCTACCACTGAGCCACCTTCCCAGCCCCGATGCAAAGCACTTTTGAATCTACACCACAGTACTCCTTTAGAACTACCCTTGGTGCCCAGGATCCCAGTAGACGCTGGGGGGTGGGGAGGAGAAGGTGGGTAGGAAGAAGGGTCCTGACACTGTGTGTGTGTGTGTGGGGTGTGTGTGTGTGTGTGTGTGTGTAGGGTGGGGAGGAAGAAGGGTCCTGATGTGCGTGTGTTGTGTGTGTGTGTGTGTGTGTGTGTAGGGTGGGGAGGAAGAAGGGTCCTGATGTGTGTGTGTGTGTGTGTGTGTGTGTGTCCGTGGTGCCCGGGATCCCAGTAGACGCTGGGGGGCAGGGAGGAGAGGATGGGGAGGAAGAAGGGTCCTGACATTTGTGTGTGTGTGTGTGTGTGTGTCCGTGGTGCCCGGGATCCCAGTAGACGCTGGGGGGACGGGGAGGAAGAAGGGTCCTGACTGTGTGTGTGTGTGTGTGTGTGTGTGTGTGTGTGTGTGTGTAGGGTGGGGAGGAAGAAGGGTCCTGATGTGCGTGTGTTGTGTGTGTGTGTGTGTGTGTGTGTGTGTAGAGGGTGGGGAGGAAGAAGGGTCCTGATGTGTGTGTGTGTGTGTGTGTGTGTGTGTGTCCGTGGTGCCCGGGATCCCAGTAGACGCTGGGGGGGCGGGGAGGAAGAAGGGTCCTGACTGTGTGTGTGTGTGTGTGTGTGTGTGTGTGTGTGTGCGCACGCACGCGCGCAGGAGCTGGACTCTGTCACGGAGTTTTTTGCTCAAAGTTAGCGCCTCTACTACTGGAGCCACAGCTCCACTTTTGGCTGCTTTGGTGGTTAATTGGAGGTAAAAGTCTCACGGACTTTCCTGCCCGGCCTGGCTTCGAACCGCGATCCTCAGATCCCACCCTCCTGAGTAGCTAGGATTTACAGGCGAGAGTCCCTGGTGCACGGCTTTTTTTTTTGGAAGAAGGTAGGAGAGAGAGAGAGAGGGAGGGAGGGAGGGAGGGAGGACAGGGAGACAAAGACCAAGAGAGCCGGTGCTGGGGCTCGAGTCCAGGACCTGGGGGCGCTGTCCACCGTCTTTCCCGCCCAGGGCTGGCGTTGCACCTCCGGAGCCAGGGCTCGGCTCCGCCCGCGGGCACCTCCGTTCCCCTCCCCGGGCCGGGCGAGCGCGGCGCGCCGCACGTCAGCCGCCTGGCGCACAGTGGGCGCTGGGGAACGGCGGCCCCCGCCCGATCCCGCCCCGCGGCCCGGCGGGCGGCCTACCCTCGCAGATCTGCTCCCACAGGTTTCTCTCCGGCGGCGGCGGCGGCGGCGGCGGCTCGGCGACCTGCCCCGGCGGGACCGGCTGCTCGAGGGGCGCAGGCGGCGTCGGGGCGGTGACTGAAGGCTCGGGGGAAACGCCGGACTTCTCTCGGAGAGCGCTCCGAGCGGAGACAGACCACAGAGCCACCATGACCGCGGTCTCCATGGTAACGGCGTTGTCCGCGCGCCTGCGACCCGGAAGGAGCCGGATTTCTTGCGGGCGGGCTGGCTGCTCGAGGTTGACTTCCGGGTCACGGTGGAGCACGCTCTCACGTGGAGGCCGGGAGGTTTGGCCCGCAGGTGAGTCTTTTCGAACGCGGCGCGCGCGGTGTGGGCCGCCGGCGTGGGGGTCTGGGACTGGGTCCCGACGCCATGGGTTACGTGGCGGAGAAGAGGGAGACACAGTAGGCATCCTTCATTCCCCCCCCACACCCCGGCCCGCGACCCACCCCCCTCCATCGACGGGGCGAGGCTGCGCTTGCCGGGCGTTCTCGGGGAAGGGACCCCGAGATATCGCGATACCGGCCGAGCGTTGGCACAGCCTCCTTCACATCGCTGCTGCCGGGGGTTCGAATCCCTGTTTCACACCAAGGATGGAAGCCCGCGAGGTGGCATAGCTCCACCTTTACACCCGAGACCACCGTGGGAATTCAGACGCCAGGCTTGGTGGGTGCTTGCCTGTAATCCCAGCCGAGGCAGGCTGAGGCAGGAGGACCTCGAGTTCCAGGCCAGTCCGGACTACACCAGACATGCCGCCTTTTAAAAAACAAACCAACCCACCCGGGAAGGCGCGCATGCGCTTTCATTCGTTCCCGTGCAGAAGTTGCCCCGTAAGAAGCAGCAGTTCTTCCTGGGGCTGGGGATGTGGCTTAGTGGAAAGAATGCTTGCCTCGCATGCATGAAGCCCTGGGTTTGATTCCTCAGTACCACATAAGCAGAAAAAGCCAAAGTGGCGCTGTGACTTAAGTGATTGAGCAAAAAGAAGCTCAGGGACAGTGCTCAGGCCCTGAGTTCAAGCCCCAGGACTGGCAAGAAAGAACTAGTTTTCTTTTTCTTTGCACGAGTGGATGCACTTTGGGGGTTACCGGGCTGAACAGCCAGGTGCTAAGGGGTAAGAGTAGCCGAAGCTCATCAAGTTGATATTCCTTGAGCATCCCCCCCCATTTCTTGTGTTTCCTGGACTCTGCTTTATCCTCTGCCCATCTGTTTAAATGTCACCATTTGGGGCTGGGAATGTGGCTAGGTGCTTGCCTAGCATCCATGATAAACAGAAAAAGCTGGAAGTGGTGCTGTGGCTCAAGTGGTAGAGTGCTAGCCTTGAGCAAAAGAACCTCAGGGACAGTGTTCAGGCCCTGAGTTCAAGCCCCAGGACTGGCAAAAAAAAAAAAAAAGTCACCATTTGTTGGGATTTTGTTCTGGTACTTTCTGGGGTTGTCTCAGGCTTCATTACTGTCCACATAGTACTCTTGTGCATATGTATGTGGGGATACTGGGTCCTGAACTGGGTGCCTGGGAGCTGTCCTTGAGCTTTTTCTTAAGACTGGCACTCTACCACTTGAGGCACAGTTCCACTTCCATTTTTTTTTTTTTTGGGGTGGTTAATTGGAGAATCTCATGCCCTTTTCTGCCCTGGTTCAAACCACGATCCTCAGAATTCAACTTCCTGAATCACAAGGTTTAAGGCATGAGCCACCCATGCCCGACTTTACAGCACTTTTGATGTCACCTGTGTCCGCAGAGTCAGTCAATAAGCAAGAAGGGTGTTATTTTCTTCTCCATTTTTCAGATGAAGAAACAAAGGCCCAGGGATGCAAGTCAGTGATTTAAGGTGGGAGAACAGTTAGGTTATATCCTAGAGCTAACTTTAGGTAATTTAACTTCCAGTACTTTGTTAGATTTCCCTGTGCTCCCAAAGAATTATGGGCCTGAAATAAGGACACTGAGTCTAAGCAATATGCCTTATTCTTGCAGCCATCTTGGTACTTTGCTAGGTGGAGGGGCTTTTCCACCCAGCTCTGCAGATCTAGAGGTGACAGACGACATTTGTTTTGTCCTGAGTTGTTAAGCTCCAAGAAAGCCCCCTAGATAATTGGCCCTTAATATAAGTGTCCTGCTCTGGTTTGCTTTGCTTATGTATAACACTTCTGTTAGACTTAATTCCTCACACCTTACGTGTTTGGCACTATATAAGCTTTGTGCTAGCTGCATTCGGAGCTACTGGTCTTTGAGACAGGAGTCTATCTGCAGCTCTAGGCTCTCCAATAAAGATTCCCAGTTCGGCTTCTCTGTTTTCTCATGACTGAGTTCCAGTACAATGGTCCTAACATTTCCTACCACCCACTCAGAACCATGGCTCTGTGCAGAGTGTAATATGGAATGCAGTGCAGGGTCGGGGAGTACATGTGTGGTAATAACTTGAATAATTTCTTTCCTTAGCAATGGTCACAAAGACCCACAAAGCAGACTTGGGCCTTGGGGCCCCAGAGAAAAAGAAAAAGAAGAAAAAGATGATTGTTAGAGAACCAGAGACTCAGTACTCAATGTTAAATAATGACAATTATTTTTCCGACCAGTCTCCCACAAGGGCCACGTCCCATTTTAACTTGGGCCAAGGGACGTTCCCCGAGATATGTCTGGGGAAAAAAAAGAAGAAGAAAAAGAAAAGTCACAGCTTCATTGGTGAGCTGCCCCAGGAATCCGAACCCAGATTGTCATGTGCGAGGCGGGCAAAGTCCTACAGCCCTGGGAAGCAAGCTCGTGAACCGTTGGAGTTCGTTTGCTTGGAGAAGAAAAAGAAGAGGAAGTCCTTACCTGTAATTACTTCCCACAACTCTTGGATAAAGACTTCCCCAGACCACACAAAGAGTGAGGAAATGATGAAGATTGGCAAGAAGCTCAAAAAACACAAGAAGGAGAAAAAGGCCCAGGATACTTCTGCCTTCTCCAACCAGGACCGGTGGCTCTATGAGGCTGGAGATGCGCTGCGCGCATGCTCAGTGGGGAAGGAGACTGAGGAGCAGACGGCCTCCGGGCAGAAACGGAAACAGGGGAACCCCAAAGAACACAGTATGAAGATGAAGAAGAAGAAGAAGAAGAAGATCCAACCGGAGAGAGACACCTACTTAGGTCAACCCAAAGTTTCCAAGTCTGTGGAGAACAACTCTAGGAAAGGAAGTAAGAAGAAGCCAGTCAAGATTGAAGCTCTAGAATTTATCCCAATAGGAGATGGTCCTAAGTCCCCAATGAAGAAGAAAATGAAGTCCAAGAAAAAGGTAGAGCAGCCAGTTGAGGAGTTGGCTCTAAAAAGGAAGAGAAAGAAGAGGAAAGAAGGTGGGGAAGTCAAAGACCCTTGGGAGGAGGTAGGTCCTCCCTGGGGAGAACAGGCTGAGGGTGGAGAGTACATATGTGTATCTGGTGCACTTTTGCATGTAGATAGTCATACTTATAGCTATCAGAACGCCAGCACAGGGAGGGAAGGGGGAGGGCAGTTATTGACATGTGCAGGAAAGCATTGGAGCTATCCAGCTACAGGTGTGGCTGAATCCAGCAGCTCATGAACTATGATAATAATATGGCTTGAGATAACATTGTGTATATAGCTGTGAGCCCACTGCATTGTATTGGCTAACAGATGGCCAGAAGGTATTCTCAGCTCTGGGCTGAGACGAGGACTTAGTCAATTCCTCTCTGCCCTCTGCCAGTTTCATGATCTCCACAGCTCCAGGCTTGGCTTCTGAAGGTCCTCGGCTGCTCTCAAAGGCGTCCACTGAGTCATAAACCAGATGACCTGATCAGAAGCCAAGGGTGCAGTTCCAACGGTATCTGCCCCACCTATACCACACAGTCTGAAGCGGGGGTGGGCATCTGAGATGAGGACTGGGGCCCTCTGTCCACAGTCTCCATCCTGATTGGAGTGGGAGGGATGGCAGTGGTGAGTTACAGGGCTGGGGACTCTGCTGACCTGCATCCTGCATCCATCTGGGCCCTCACCAGGGTCAGGTCACTGTTCCTGCCTGAGCAAGGCACTTGTGGGTGCAGCAGAAGGATGTAATATCCTGTGGCCAGGTCTGGTCCCTGCTCAGAGCAAGGTGTGGCAGGCTCTGGGTCCGTATTCCACCTGGTGATCCAGTGATCTGGTCCTTTCCCCACCAGCCCAACGGAGAGTGCTGTGGCCATCCACACCTGACAAGAAAGCTGGGGCTCGGAGGACAGAAGCAGGGGTGGTAGGAGACCCAACACTGGGGCTTCCGGCATGGCCCCTTCCCTAGAGACCAGTGTCACTGGAGCCCAAGAAAGACAAAGCTTGGTCTCTCTCCCCTACGCTGGGCTGTGTGTCCTACAAGGTGGCCTTGTGCCATCACACCATCCACTCACCATGGGCCTGGCAGGAAAAGCCTTGTTTAGTGCCCACTGAGGGCAGCCCCTGGGTGGTGGAGGCCACCAGGCTGGGAGTCTGCAGGGGAAGTTCTACTTGTGGGGTTTCTCCCAGCTTTGTCCTTGCCCATGAGGCTCAGTCCACCCAGCATCCTTATTCAGAAGAAACTGCAGAAACCTGGGACTTCCTTCCCTAGGAAGCCAGTGAGAGATGTCTGCTCTGTGTGGCCTGTCCCTGGAAGGGGCTCTGCCTCCCAGCCAGATGTGCTCATCCCTTCTGGCTAGGCCATCCATCCTGTCACACACACCACCAGGGCTGGGCAGAGCACACTAACGTGAGAACCCATAACCTGGCCACTGCTATTGGGGAGCCTGTACTAGAGGCTGTTTCAGGAGTATGGTGAGTGAGGCTAGAGCTGGGACTTGGAGGGGGCACTTGGAGGCTAGAGCAGAGCAGAGCAGGTACAGACACCAGTACCGTGCCTCCTGGGAAGGGGAGAAAGAGCTTTGAAGCAAGCCTGAGCTGTGGCATGGGGAGGGACAGGAGTATGGAAGGGAGAATTAGATGGGGTGGGTGACAGGCCCTTGAGCCACTTCCACATTTCCTGGCTCCTGCCAGTCCCAGTAGGGAAGCTACCTGCTAAGCCTGTGTCTGGAGGCCCAGGCTGGAATAGGTGCTATGCCTCAGCCTCAGGGAGCCCTGTGCTCTAGGAACCTGTTTCTTCCTCTGTCAAATGCCTGGTGTCACTGATTTGGGGGAGTTGCGGGAGAGCTGAAATGGCCTCATTGTCAAGGGTGCAGGCTGGAGTCCTGGACTCTTAAGGACCTCATCCTGTGTGCTGAGCCTCAGTTAGAGCCTTAGCCTCTCTTCCCTTTCTTGCAGGCATCCGACACAGACTTGGAGGTGGTGTTGGAAAAGAAAGGCAACATGGATGAGGCCTGCATAGACCAGGTACAGCCAGCGCCTCTCCCGGTACACCTGCTACCCACTAGGCCACAAGGTCCTGGTTGTGGGGCACCAGGCTATCCACAGATCTCTGGGATAAATTGAGGCCTGCGAGTTTTAGGCCAAGGAACTTTATTTTTGTGTCTTTACTAAAGCCTCCCTCTGGCTCTAGTAGAGGGCAGCTCACCACCTCCACCCTTGCCCCATCCTTAACTCTGGAGGGAGCTCAGGGTGGCCTCCCCTCTCTCCATCCCCAGCTCTGGAAGGAGCTTGGGGTCACCTCCCCTCCGTTGTCCTTCTCAGGTGAGGCGGAAGGCTTTGCAGGAAGAGATCGACCGGGAATCAGGCAAGATAGAGGCATCAGACTCCAAAAGCTGGGCGGTGAGTTTGCCCCTGCGGTCCCTGTAGCATGAGGTGGGAGAGGCAGGAGTGGGGCAGCAATAGGAACTTTTCCAGACCTGGCCAAGAGAAAAGGGGAGGGAAGAAGGCTCAATGGGGCAGGTAGGAGGACAGCATGCGCACTGCGTGGCTAGGCCCCTGTGAGTCGCTGGATTCTACACCCCTGTCACACATACTTACTATGTGAGCCTCTATTGTGTACCAAGTGTAGGTATCAGAGGCAGCTGGGACCCCCTCACCTCACCATCACACGCTGGCGGCCCAAGAGGACAATAAGTGTGGCAGGAAAATGGAGAATCCATAAGGAAGGGATAGGCAAATGACAGCTATACTAAGGAGAAAGAGGTAGAAAAGAGCAGGAGAGGCCGGGCTGGTCTACACAGGCTGCGGTGACACTTGTCTGGACACCCTAAGGTGAGGAGGGCAGAACCCCGAGGTAGCAGAGGGCTGGGGGTGGTCTACGGCGAAGGCCAGCAAGGTCGCACAGTAGCCAGTGCAGGCCAGGGCAGCACCAGCTCAGCCTCTGGCTGCAGTCAGGCCAAGGACCTGGAGAGTAGCCTGAGCCTGCTCTGGGTTGGCCACCGAGGCCCACCATGGAACTAGGTGCTAGGTTGGCTGTGGGAAGGGAAAGACCACCTTCTGGCCCTGGCCTCAGCCTTCCATGTGTATTGACAGGAGTTTGAATGAGAATTGCCGAGATCAGTGATTCGGTCTGGTATCTCTAAGCAAGATCTTTCCCTTCATGCACTGGGGTCTGCCAGGGGCGCTTCAGGTGACCCTGAGGCAGGGGTCAGGGATTCCTGTGGAAGAGCAGCTCACCAGGCCCCATTGGCCCCTGGCAGTGGTTTTCTCAGACCTGGGCAGGGCATCACCAGTGGCCTGAGAAGTTGTCATTTCCCTAACCGGGGCCACCATGAAACTGAGGTCTCCAGTTTCCCCCTGGGCAGCTGTAACAGTTGTAGGTATCCTCACAGGGCAGACTGGAAACCAGCGCTGGGCTGACATGTGGCCTGTAAGCAGGCCAGTGCCCATGTAGGGGTCGGCAGACGGTGGGGGCTCCCCAGGACCACCAGCAGCCAGCTGGGAGTGACCAGGTGTGGATGTGCTGGCACAAAGTGCACCGTGTACAGGTGCATGGGAAGTGGCTGTGGTGACAGCTGAGTTGTGCCGGGTTAAGAGGAGAGGGGAGGTAGGACCACTATGAAGGTCACCTGCCTAGCATGCTCCAAGCACTGGGTTTGATCCCCAGCACTGGAAAAAAAGGTGGTGGAGGTGAGCAGAGGGGTGGGGTTTTTTTGTTGTTTGGTTGTTGTTTTTTTTGCCAGTCCTGGGGCTTGAACTCAGCCTGGGGCACTGTTCCTGAGCTTCTTTTGCTTGAGCCTAGCACTCTACCACTTGAGCCACAGTGCCACTTCTTTTTTTATGTGGCACTGAGGCATCAAACCTAGGGCTTCCTGGGTGCTAGGCAAGCAACTCTACCACTAAGCCATATTCCCAGCTCTATAAGGCCTTCTCTCTTTTTGTTGTTGTTGGTAGTGGTGGTGGTGGTGATGGGGTTTGAACTCAAGGCCTGGATGCTGTCCATAAGCTCTCTTGCTCAAGGCTGTACCACTTTAAGCCACAATGCCCCTTTTTTTTTGGTCGTGGGACTTGAACTCTGGACTTGGGCGCTGTTCCTCAGCTCTTCAGCTCAAGGTGAGCACTGTACCGCTTGAGCCACAGCACCACTTCCGTTTTTTTCAGCCTCTTGAGTAGCTAGGATTACAGGCACGAGCCACTGGCCCCGGCCACGATGCCACTTCTAAGATGTGAATCTTGACTGTCAACTGGATTGATTTGTGTGCTAGTCAACTTGATTAGTAATGAATAGATGCCATCCAAGGGCTGTCATCAAATCAGTAGGTGGTGAGAAGGAGGGAGTGTCCTTGGAGGCTATGTCTTGCTCGGACCCTTTCCTGTCCCTTTGCTATTCGCCATGACTAACCCGGAACCGAGCAAGTCATTGCTGATTCTGTCAGCTGTGTGGTCACGGTGTGACAGGAAGAATCATACAGCTGTTAGGAGGTAATGGTGCTGGGTGGGTGGTGAGGGCAGGGGAAGTGATGGTTGTCATTGCCAATTTCAGGCAGAGCCAGGGCAGTGGCACACCTGGTCACGTGGGGGGGGGGGCCTCTCGTGGTGCCCAGACCTGAATTGGAACCCCTCAGGTGACACAGGAGGTATCTGCCCATCAGCCTCCCTTTCCTCATCCGTCACAGAGTGGCCACAGTTGTCCTCCCAGATCGCAGGAATAGTAATGAGACTGTCTTCTGGCGTACTGGCACTGGGCCACAGCAGCAGGGGCTGAGTGGAGGGAAAGGGTGCGTGGGATTGAAGACAAATAACCGCGTTTTCCTCCCCACAGGGAACCCAGTTTGGCCAGTGGGATACTGCTGGTTTTGAAAGTGAGGAACAGAAACTGAAATTTCTCAAACTTATGGGTGGCTTTAAGCACCTGTCCCCTTCGTCCAGCCGCTCCGCCAGCACAGTAGGCAAGCCCAACATGGCTCTGAGCAAGAAGGAGGCAGACAGCCTGCAACAGAACCTGCAGCAGGACTACGACCGGGCCATGAGCTGGAAGTGCAGCCGCGGCGCCGGCCTCGGCTACTCTCCCACCCCAGACAAAGTCTTCTACATCGACAGGAACGCCTCCAGGTCCGTCAAGCTGAGCGATTAAACTCCCATCTGGTCTCTCAGCAGCCCACCTGGCTTTTCTTCCTGTGTGGCAGGTGGAAGCTGCAGGCAGTTATCTTGAACCAGACACTTGGCGAAGGTTCAGGACAACTCTGGATGGGTGGGCTTGGAGGAGCAGGGGGTGGGGACTGGTGTTTGCAGAGCACACATGGATAGGGCGTATATTCCAGCTGAAGCCCTACTGTTCCACCATCTTACAGGAGAGGCACCACAGCTCAGGGACCCCAGCAGTGCAGGCCATACCCATCTAGGGCAGGTCACCACTACTGGGACAAATTGATGAAGGAAAGCAGAAGTTTTGGGGTGTCTATATAGGCCTGCTTACTTGTGCACAGAAATCTAGTCTGTCACCAGAGGAAGTTGGGCAGCCAGGACAGCAGCAGGCTATGGCTCCAGAGCAGCTCCAGCCTGCTCTGCCTTTCCTCACATGTCCCCTTCTTGGGGATGTAGTCTCAGCCTGATGTTAAGGCTCCCAGCCTGCAGCTGGCTTGACCCACTCTGTCCCTCCTTTTCCTGCTTTAAGTGCTCTCCCCAGGCCCTCTGCAGGTTTATATCAAGTCTATGTTACTCATGTCTCTGCCCCATGCAGAACAGAACACAGCCTACCTGTGGGTCCTAGGAGTTTGGGAGAGAGAGGGAGAGGGTGGTGGAAGGTCAGAGTTCACCTACGACTGGTTGTTTCTCCTTTGGGTATTTTTTAAGTAGCTGACCCTCTATGGCCATATCCTTCCTATACTCCAGCTGTCTCTTCAACCCTGGCTCCTCCCACATTAGTCCTAAATGATTTCTGCTGTCTGCCTCAGTGTGTGAGCCTCTGCCCCTGAAGCCACCTTCCCAACAGGCCCATCAAAGTATCTGCCAGGCAGCCATAGCTCTCCTTTAAAAGGGGTATGTCCAGACGAGCATGGTAGTGCACATCTGTAATCCCAGCCGCTCAGGGCAGAGATCAGGAGGACTGAAGAGTGACGCTAGCCTAGACAAGAGTATTAGCAAGATCCCCAAGTCAGCTGTCTAGCTGAGTGTGGTGGTTCACAACTGTGGTTTCAGTTACTGAGTGGTTTAGGTTGAGAGCTGATGGAATCGCAGCCTCAAATTAGAAGAAATGAGTTAAGGAGGGTAATTTGTGAATCTGCCCCTTGGTTTTAATTAGCATAATACAGTTTGTTTCAAGTAGTTTTATTTTTTTAAAATTCTTTGTTGTTATAAAGGTGATGTACAGAGGGGTTACAGTTACGTAAGTCAGGTAAGGAGTACATTTCTTTTTGGACATCACCCCTTCCCTCGCTCTCTCCCAGTTTTCCCTCATCCTACTGAAATAAATTTAATGGAAATAACTTTTTGGAATAAAGGCGCTCTGCTCTGGGAGAACTTGAGCAGAACGAGGACAACTCTGTTTTCTGATGTGTTTAGTTGGGGTTGGAGGTTGCGTTGTACGGCTGTTTCTTTGAGGCACAGGGGTTGTCATCAGATTGGCCCCCAAAAATCTAGTCTTGCTAGTCCTAAACTTAGGAACATGAGTTGAATAGATACATATATATATATATATATATATATATTTTTTTTTTTTTTTTTTTTTTTTTTGGTCCAGTCGTGGGGCTTGAACTCTGGGCCTGGGCACTGTCCCTCAGCTCTTCACCACTTGAGCCACAGCGCCACTTCCAGCTTTTTTTTTTCTGCTTATGTGGTGCTGAGGAATCGAACCAGGGCCTCAAGCATGCAAGGCAAGTGCTCTACCACTGAGCCACCTTCCCAGCCCTAGAAATTATTTTTAAATTTTATTTACTGAGGTGAGCCATGCATTAGCAATCACCTCCTACCTCCCTGGAAGAGTAAAGATGAAATGTATCCCACTCTCAGGGCACATTTCCCAAAAGCATAAATTGGGGGTTTATTCATCTGTTTACTTATTGAGACGGGGTAGTCCTATGCTGTGGCTTGAGCAGCTTCCCGAGCCGCTGGATGGCAGGCCTAGCCATGGGCATGGCAGGGCCTGTGCAATCGGCTAGGTCCTGACACTTAGTCCACAGCCTGCATGGTTTCTCACCGACAATGTCAGGCACCAGTCATTAAATGCTGTACTGGAAACCATGTCAAGAATGGAGTTCCACCAAACTGGCCAGCAGCACGGAAGCAGCGGAGCTCCAGAGGCAGAGCAGGTATCCCCAGGCCATGCAATGCACCACAGGCCTTTGGTGGAGGTCAGTGACTGGACTACAGACCTGAGTGCACCTACGCACTTCATGGCACACTTCACTGAAGCCACAGCGACTCAGACTGTACCTCATTTTCTCCTGGTGCCATAGTCGTGTTCTAAGACCAACTGGAATACTCTTGATGGGGCTAAATGCATGCGAGATCTGCCATGAAGTCCTCTAAGGTTGCTGTCTTACTAAACAGGCACAATGTGAGGCACACCAGTAAAGGAAGTTGCGTGCATTCCTGGTTCTCCCCTGCAGAAGGCCCAGCTGTTCCCGGGCCTCACTGAGGAGCTGAAGCAAGGCCCCTTGGCAAAGAAACGCTAGGACATTGCTCCTCGGAGAATTGGATTTAATACTTTGCGGATTCTCTCTTTGCTGTCAAAAAGTCTGGGCAGAGGTCAGATCTTAAACCATTCAACCATATATATATGTTAAAAAACAAAAAACCCTAAGTCCCCATGGGGCTCAGGTCCTTGTCTGCAGGGGGAGTCGCAGGGCCAGCTCCGTCAGATGAGTCATGTCCGGCTGTTTGCTTCGCTTCTTGATGTATTCCAGAGTTTTCACCTAGGAGGGAAGAGCAAGGTCTGTGTCACGTGTGGCTCACTACACTGGGAACCCACGCCGGGTGAGTGTGCCGCTGTGTGAGCACATAGTAGAACTTGAACCATAACGTGCCCTTAAAATCAGAGGGGGTGCCAGGTATGAGGGCATTTTCATGTGAGGAAGCCTGGTGCCAGCTAGGAGCCCGGGCGAGCAGGGCTGGCTGTGTGTGGCAGTGCTGGTCCTCACCATCGTCCTGCTGTCAGCACAGCCATGCCTCTGTGCCAGGTGCCACAAGTTGACAGACAGCTGGTTCAGCTTGTTGTTGCGCAGGTCCCCGTGGGCCAGGATGCTGTTGAAGAAGGAGAGGCCCAGCAGGCTCTGGCGCTTCAGGGCCTGTAGAGAAAGGGTGGTGACCCCCTGCACTGGGACTTGGGCCACCCGGGGCCACAGAGCCCAGCAGAGACTCTGTGGGTAGGTTCAAATGCCAGCTCTCCCATGTGTTTGCTGCTCCACCCACTGAGTCCTGCTGCCTCTCCCATCTGTGAAGTGGGAGCCAGGTGTACACCTCATGGAGAAAGAGAGGGCAAGCTACGCCTAACACTCCATTTCAATGGGAGAGGGGGAAATAGGTATCTAGAACTCACAGCAGGCCCATGAGAGGTCCCCTCCCCAAAGGTAACAGTCACTAGGAAAGGCCATGCCAACAGACAGGTTCCTGAGCCCAAGCCAAACTGTAGAACCAGGAGCCGTGGCCAGCAATCATGGGAAGGGAGGTGGGGAGTTACTAGCTGAACACAGAAATCACAAAATCATCTGCCACATGGAGATGGGACAATTGAGTCCCAGCAGATGATCATGGAACCTCGCCTGCACATGAGCGTGAGTCCTGCACTCAAGGACTCCAGCCTGTGAATGGCTCTAGTCAGAATTCAGTGAAGCTACTTGAGTGAAGCGCTGGGTCCTACACAGGCTGGAACATACACTGTTCCTGTGCTTGGACAGATCAGCGAAAGGCCCTTGCTGAAGGTCCTAGTGCACACCGGGAAGCCAAAAGTGCTAGAAGTGGTGGTGCACTCTTGAATCCTGGCTATTCAGGAAGAGGTAGGAAGGATTGTGATTGAAGGCCAGCTTGGGCAAAAAGCCTAACACCCAGGTGTCAGTGGCTCATGCCTGTAATCCTACCTACTCAGGAGGCTGATATCTGAGGATCATGGTTCAAAGCCAGCCTGGGCAGGGAAATCCATGAGACTCTTATCGCCAATAAACCACTCAGAAAACCAGAAGTGGAGCTGTAGTAGAGTGCTCATCTTGAGCTGAAAAGCTGAAGAACTGCCCAGGCCCAGAGTTCAAGCCCCTTGACTGACAAAACAAAAACAAAAAAAAGCCTAGCACTCTATCTTGAAAAACTACAAGTGGTAGGTGTGTGGTAGAGCACCTGCCCTGCATGAGGCCCCAAGTTACTATTTCTACTGTTCTGGCTAAACTTGCTTGCCTTGGTTTCCATTGTTCAGCAGGAACCGAACATGGCTCCTGCCCTTCAGAAGGGTGCTTGGGTGTGGCCAGCACGGCTATTTATAGACTGGACAGCTTTTTTGAAAAGGTCCTACTGTGGCACTGACGTCATGACGCAAAGACAGCCCACCCCAGCTCCCAAGGAGCTTCCACTCGAGAGTCCACACCACATTGTGACTGCCACCAAGTGTCTGGGGAGCCTGCCACAGAGAGGAGGCCAGGGTGACCACTTGAGCTGTGCAAGCAGAGCAGCTGTGAGGGCAGATGTGATTTTACTGAGACACAATTTCACTCCATAGTGCAGGCTGGCTGCAGACCCACAATCTCGCCCTGGTCTCTCAAGTGCTGGAGCATCACAGGTATGTGCCACCACATCCAGCTTGGTTTTGTTTGACAGAACATTCTTAACAAGCGTTGCTGTCCTAGGAGTTGAGAGGAGCAGTGTGGTTTCCAGAGACTGCCCTTGCAGAATCGCTTCCCTTCCAGAGTGGAGCAGTGCCCCACTGGGAGCACATGCCAGAGGCCCCACCTCGTCTTTGGCCAGGGTCTTCAGGTGCTCCAGGATCTGGGCCATCACCACCTCACACAGCTTGTTGTTCTCAGCCAGGAACTTGGAGTCTCCCCCGTAGAGGCTGTCGTTGGAGTCCACTGATGGCACAAAGGAGACTATGAGATAGGCTGTGGCTGAGGTGGCGAGGAGACGCTGTGTCCATGGGGCCTGGCCAGTGATCACTATGGCCACCACAGCAGTTACGAGGGACAGGGCTGAGTGCTGCCCGTGGCGTGAAAAACAAGGTAATATAACCAATTCCCTTCTAGGGGTGGGGAAACTGAAGCCAGAGGCAGCCCAAGTTAAAATCTAAACCCAAAAGCCAGATTCCAAAGCCTGCCTGGGATGGGGTTAGGAACAGGCCAGGATTGATGCTTTCCTGCTATTGTTCCAGATCATTCCATAGTTTGGCCCATTAGTGGACCTCTAAGATCATTTAATGGTCACAGTGAAGTCAGGTGCTACAACACCTAAATCCCTAGGCCTTTTCCAGGGTTTTCCCTCTAAACCCCGGGGAGGAGGAAGGGAGAAGGCTCCTTAGCCTTGTGGGAGGCACTGCGTACCTCTGTCGATGTGGTACAGGTAGGTCTCCTGGCTCATGGCGGACAGCAGATGGAGAACACTGGTGTAGATGCGGATCCTGTCATCACTTGTGTCCTCCCATGTGTAGTCCTGGATCACATTGAGAAGCTCCCGAACAAGAAACAGGACCCCGTGTTCCGGATGATCCTGGTGGAGAACCAAAATAGGAGAGATCAACCAAAATAGGAGGCAAGAGAAACAAGTCTCCTTTTACCCACTGGGGAGAGAAGGCAGGGTTTCCTCCCCAGGCCAGGCCAGGCCTGTCACAAGCAGAGAAGCAACTGAGGAAAAGGGGAAACCCCACTCCCTAAAGGGGTCAAGGAATGAAAAAGCAGCTCCCTTGCCCTGGACATTGATCAAAACGAACCAAGCAACTCAATGGCAGCGATGGGAGGGAGGGAGAATGAGCGGGATAGAGGGAGGGAGAATGAGCGGGATAGAGGGAGCAGCTGACACTATGCGAAAGGAAAGGAATGCTCATATCACCCAATGTGGAAGGAATAACTATAGTCAAAGCCCGTAGAACTCATAAACTTCATAGACCACGATAGACAATTTGCCTCATGAAGGTTAGAATGTGTTTGTGACTAAGCATCACTATCCCACAATACTGCGAAATGTGTGAAATTATGTAATCACTAATCACAATAAAACATTTGCAAAAAAAAAAACAAAAAAGCTCCCTGTCAGATTCTGGCCTGTTTCTAAAATGACTGCCTGGTAAGAAAGGGTCATCCCCAGCGCCGACCACAAGCAAGACTGGGTCTCCCAGTGGTCGGGACAGCAGAAGCCTGGTGCTCAGGCTATAAGAACAACTCAGGAGAGTTAGCAACTGCAGAACTACCCCCATCACCTCAGAGAGGGAGATTCCCACACAGGTTTAGGAAAACCATTGTGTTTCCGTCGTTTCATGATGCTAGAAAAAGGACCACACCATAAAAAAGTGAGCAGCTTCAATTCAGCTTCAAGGTCTATGCAAATGCAAACCAATCCCCAGCTCCCCCGGCATTCCTCCTCATCCAGCCAGAGCTCACGGCAGCCACATCACTCAGGTCTCAGTAGGATACACGACCTGACCATCAAATAACAACTTGAGTCTGCGCACAATGGCTCACATCTGTAATCCTCATCAGGAGGTGGAGATCAGGAAGATCACAGCTTAACACTAGCCCAGACAAAAAAAAATTGATACTATCTCAAAGTTGGGCATATCGGCATTCACTTGTTATCACACCACATAAGTAGAATCATGGTCTGGGAGGGCCTGGGCATACATGTGAGACCCCAGTCAGAAATGTAAAGCGAAAAAGAGAAAAGGGTTGAGGCATGGCTCAAGTATACAGTGTCTGCCTTAGTAAGTAGAAGGCCCTGAGTTCAAACCTCAGTACTGCCAAAAACAAGGGCCAAGATTTAGAGTACCTACTGTTGATGGCCCTATTAGGAATCCCATTTCACAGATGGGAGATGAGCCAGAGAGGTGAGTGGTACAAAGTCAAACTGCTGGTACCGAGAGGACCCATGATTGGCCAACCTGGCAACCTTCCTGACTGCAGATCCGACTCAGACCCTGGCTCTCTCCATTGGCACTGGGCATGTGCCTAGCTGGGGAAGCATCCATGCAGGGGAGCAGAGTACTCAGTATAAATGAAGTGGTCACTGACCACCAAGGGTAGGCTGACAGCAGCCTGGTCCACCGTGGACATGCACATTGCACATAGAGCAGGGCAGTCATCACCATCAACTTTAGAACATTTCCTCACCCCAGAATGGGACTTGTATCCATGGGAGCTGAGGCACACGTATCCATGGGAGCTGAGGCACACTCATGGCCCAACTCAAGAGTCCATAGACAGGTCTGTGGGAGGCCATGGGGCCTCAGAAGACCGATGACCCTGAAGGCTGGCTGGCACCCTGCTCTGGGACACCCAGCCTTGAACTGTGAGAAACACAGGTTTGTCACTCAGGCTGCCTGGCTAATGGAACTTGACTGCAGCTGCCGAGCTAACTCCTACCCAGGTGCACTCCAGATCCCCAGCACCCCAGGCATGGCACAAAACCGTTTTCATTAGGCAACTCCAAATTCTCTTTTGTGTGGGCAGGTACTGGTTTGGGTTTTTTTATGTGGTTGTGTGTGTGTATCAGTCCTGGGGCTTGAACTCTGGGCCTGGGTGCTGCCCCTGCGCTCTTCAGCTCAAGGCGAGCACTCTACCACTTGAGCCACAGCACCACTTCTGGTTTTCAGCTGTTTTATTGGAGATAAAGAGTCTCATGGACTTTTCTGCCCAGGCTGGCATTGAACCCTGATTCTCAGATCTCAGCCTCCTGAGTAGCTAGGATTACATGCGTAAACCACCGGCGCCCGGTTTAGGTACTGGGGTTTGAAGTCAGGGCTTGGGCACTGTCCCTTCACTTTTTCTGCTTAAGGATGGCTATCTACTTCTAGTCTTATGGTGGTTAACTGGGGATTAATCAGTCTCTCACAGACTTTCCTGCCTGCTTTGAACCTTGATCCTCGGATTTCAGCTTCCTGAATAGCTAGGATTACAGGTGTCCAGCCACATCTTCAGGAAAGCCAAACCTATGTAGGTAGCAGACAGAGTGTACTGCACTTTGGGGCCCCATATCTTGGGCCTTCAGGGAAACATACCGGCACAATTAGCAAAGTGGAGAAGAAATTGCAGAGGAATTCCAGAAGGAAGGCTTCAGAAGGCCGCATCTTCCCGTCGATATTTATCATCTTGGGAACTTCTGGCACGAGGCTGATAGCAGCTTTGAAGAAAGCATCAGCTGCAGGGAGAAGACAAGCTGAGATGAGCACTGCAGATGCAGGGTGGGGTCCTCCTTCTTCAGGGTCCCACTCAGACCCAAGATGGGCTGAGCAGAGGGTTCTAGAAACCACAAGGAGATCTGGCAGATTGTTGGAGAACAGGAAGCTGCTGATCTCAGAAGCCAGCTCAGAGAATCTCAGTTCAGCTTCCATACCATACAGGAGACACTGGCCTCAGCCTGAGTTGGTTCAGTGAACTCCCAGATGGAGGGAAGCTATGTCAGCCCCTTCACAGGTATGGGGTAAGGAAGGACTCAACACCCCGTGGATGGGCCTGAATCTTTTCTAGTACATGCCCTTTCTGGTTAAAATGTTTACTAAAGAAACACACGTGGAACTGGGTGTGGTGGGGCACCCCTGTAATTCCAGCTGTTAGAAGGGGTAAAGTAGAAGTACTGAGAGTTTCAGACCAGGCAGAGAAGACCTGTCTGGAGGTACAGGGGAACCACGGACTAGGCACAGTAGGATACACTGTAATCTCAGCTATTTGCAAAGCAGAGATCCCAGAACAATCGGAGTTTGTGACCAGCCCATGCAAAAGATTGGCAAGAACATTTCAACTAACTAGATGTAGTGCTACAAGCCTGTCATCTCAGCTACTGAGAGGCACAGGTAGGAGGATCTTGGCCTCTAGGCAGGCCCAGGTAGAAAGTGCAAGATCCTATCTGAAAAATAACAAAAGCAAAAATGGCTGGTGGTATGGTTCAAGTGGTAGAGTACCTATCTAACAAGTGCAAGTTCTTGAAGTAAAACCCTAGTAGTACCAAAAAAAAAAAGGGGGGGGGGGGGTTGGGGGAAGAACGAAAAGAAACCCAACTACTGAAGAGTCTAAGGAATAACCATGATGGAAGTGGCACTGTGGCTCAAGTGGTAGAGCACTAGCCTTGAGTGAAAAAGCTCAGGGACAGTGAATGCCCAGGCCCCAAGATCAAGCCCCACAACCAACAGAAAATAAACCAACAAAAAATAAAACAAATGAAAGGAATGAGCATGCATGCACAAGCCACTTTAGAGATTTCTGACTGGGGGAGGAAAGGGAAGAGGTGTGTGCGTTTGTGTGTTGGTGGCGTTTAGGTACTTGAGCCACCTCTGGCCCTTTTTTGGCTTAGTTTTTTAACATGGTCTCACATTTTTTCCGCACACCAGCCTAACCATGACCCTACTACTTATGCCTCCCACTTGACTGGAATGACACCTTTAAAGCCTCTTCTAAGGCTTTAAAAGGTTTCACTCTGTGCCCCATCCTGGGCTTCTTTGGGTTACCACAGGCTCTTGAGGGTCAGTGGCCTCGCTGGGGCCATCCACCCACAGAGCCTTTCTGTGCAATACTTTGATCCAAGTCTCTTGTCTGAGCAACAAGCTTTCCCATTCTAAGCCACTAAGCCATCAGCAAATCAGACAATTGTTGGAAAGCTTCCCAACACTCAGAATTAAAATGTACGTTTGCTCATTGTGTACAAGAGCAAAACTTTGGAAAGAGTCCAAATGTTTTTCCAACAGAAGGAACATTTTTGGGGGGAAATAGGGGAGGATGTAGGGAGAAGGAATTTATAACATGCCCAAAAGAGAAACAATGCTAAAAGACATTACAAAGACTGGGTGGAGTACTGACATGTACTGACATGGGGACGGGGGCCCCCAAGATTTACCAAGAAGCCAAAAAAGCTCAGAAAAAACACTGTAGGAAACTTGGCCTCCTCTCCCTCCTGAGGGGGCAGAGATGGTGTGTAAACACAAGAATACAGACAGATGAAAGGGAGAGACAGGAATAGAAGAATGATGAATATTCTTTAATGGATATACAGAAGAAAATGAAAAATGTCCAATCTGTTAACACATTTCTGGAAGAAGGGGATGGGGAAGATAGGAGCATGTCACCAGAGGACGTTTTACTTGTCCAAAATCCTCTATTTCTGTATTCTTGCAACACTTTCAAATAAGCATTCCTAACTTTATAATGCAAGTCATTAAAACTTGAAACTGTATCCCAACTGCCTCTCCTGTGAAGAGCATGCGACGCTCTCCCCCACTGCATCCAGACATGGTAGCAAATTCAGGTGGAACTCTGGCCTACAGGACATTCTCGTGCCCCTGGTCTTGGTGACATGGGACATGCACAGAACATGAGTCATAAAACATGCTAAAAGAATGAAAAGCAGCCCACCTTCCGAGGCGCACTGCCTTTCCATAATGCATTAGCTCAGTGCTAATGGAAATCTCCACCACATTATAGTCAGCTTCAAGAGCAAAATGACCTCAAAGGCCATTTGCTGCCAGACTCAGTCCATCATCAATCTTAGACAACTTGGCTGCACGGCTGTCCCGGGCCAGGGATGTCTAGAAACAAGCATTCCAGGAGGTGCAGATCCCCTGATCCCATCAACAAACTCCATTAAAGCTCAGTTCTGCCTCAAAGAGTAATCCACTGTCTTAAGGTCTACAAACTCCACTGTAAAACGCCTTTTCTTGTCTTGTACATTTTCTATCTCTGTGTAAGTCAAGTTTGGAGTGAAATATCAATGGAATAGAAACCACCATATGAAATGGCTGGAGGCATGGCTCAAGTGGTAGGGCAACCTGTTCATCATGGGCTAAGACCCGAGTTCAAACTCCAGTATACCAAAACAACAACAACAAAGTAAGTAGGAAATATGAATGAAATGCAATGTCAGACTCAAGACCCTACAGTCCCGTACATGAATGGTGAGTACTTGCCACAGCCAGGCACACCACCACACATAAGCCATCTCGGAATTACCTATCAATGCTTTACTATCTTCTTATGGAATGACGACGGGAGAAAAACCTGCTGTGATCACTACACAGTTTTCCCCTGAATATTTTCCATCTGCTATCAGCTGGATCCTCAAATTCAGACCCTGAGGATATGAAGGCTGACAGGACCCTCCCTCTTGAGATTAAAAACTGAAGATAAATAACTGAAAGTTAAAATGAAGGCCAAAAGAATCTGCTCTTGCTGGGTCCTATAATCATCTTCCATAAAGCTCCCTCAACTTGAGGACAGGACATTATCTAATGCTAAAGGAAGACAAACAGGCACTTCTAGGTAGAAGCATTTGAACCAACAACTGATCTGTATGTCCTTCACTTCCCTAGGAGTTCTGGAGTGGTGGGCGTGCACAGCTCAGCACATGCCAGCAGATGGGTACATGCGCAGCAACAGCTGCACAAAAGGCCAGGACTGGGGATTGGCTTCTTGCACTGATCCTCCATCAGCACCCCTATTGGCCATCTGGGGTTCAAGAGTTTATTTCTTAGGCTGGGCCCGGCCAGGCAAAGCCACAATGAAGAAGATACAGTAAAGCCCGATGAAGAAGATACTGTGAAGGCCGGAACTGAACTTGGGAAGGACAATGGATGCTCCATAGCCAGCTGAAACAGGATGCTGGGACGTGGACAGAAGCAGCCGTTTCCACAGGCTCATTTCATTTATATTTAGCCATTCTTAATAATTGAATGCATTATTTATTTGGCCAACAACTGCTGTGTGTGGCTCTCAGAACAATAGGCTTTTAGGGTTTTGCACCACAGCACTTAGACTGGAGTAAAATTCATCAGATACATTTTTAAACGTGAAGTGCAACCACATTCCCCTCCCAGCAGTAACTTAAAGCAAGGGTGAGCCAGACGGGAAGACAGAGGATCCATCAAGACAATGGTGGGAAGGGTGAAGCTAACCCCAGCATAACTCAAAAGGTGGGGTCACAGAAAGACCACCACTGAAGACGCCCATCCATCTCACGTGGGGCTCCAGGACTCCAACAGTTATACCCACATCGTGACAGCCTGTACTATACACGCCCAGTATGTAAGTGGTGGAAATATGGTCACAGGCAGGACCAGAGAGGAACCCAGCCACCACAGCCCACTACTGTGCATACCACACACCATGTGGCTGTCTCCTTCCCCCCTCACTCATCCCACTGGCAGTCTGGGCCTGACTCTTAAGCTCCCACACTGTTTGTCTCATCCAGAACAGAAAGCTGGGCATCTATTATGCACACATCAGGTTCCCCATGGGGGTCTCTTGGGTCTCACACACATAGACCTGAGACACATATATGACTCTGTAGTGGCCAAGCAGTCCAACTCCACGTGCTCTGGCATCCTCCACCGGGGCTACCTGCACAGGAAACTCTGCAGGCACCATGACCTGTCTCTAAATGTGCTGCCTCTGTATTCACTCACCACTTTTGTCTTTCTTCTTCCTCCCTTTTTTCTGTCGTGTTAGGATTGAACCCAGGGTCTCTCACACGCTAGGCAGGCACTCTACTACTTGACCCCAGTCTTTTTGTATTTTGTATCTGAGCTAGGAGTCTCTCACTCCCTTGCCCAGACTGCCCTCTTAACTCAAGATCAGCCTGCCACTGCCTCCCAAGTACACCTGGGAATATAAGTTTGCAACACCACATCTACATCTTTTTTCCTTTTTTTTGGTGCCGGTCCTGGGGCTTGAACTCAGAGCCTGGGTGCTGTCCCGGAGCTTGGTTTTTACCCTTGGCTAAAGGTCTACCACTTGAGCCATGGCTCTACTTCCAGATTTGTGTGTGTGTGTGTGTATTTCCTGCCTGGGCTGGCTTTGAACTTTGCTCTCAGATTTCAGCCTCCTGATTACAAGCATGAGTCACCAGCACCCAGCCACATCTGGCTTCTTTCTTCCTTGACAGAATCTCTCTTCCCTCTTTTCAAAATACCTCTCTGTACATGCACATGCACACCCACATGCACACATACGTAGCTGAGTCCTTCTCCACAGAGAACCATGGCTTACCTTGGGAGAGGCACTGGTTGGCCAAGGCAACCTGACCAGAATGCAGGTAGAGATTGAGGCGTGTGAAGATGCCACCCAGGGAGGGGATGGTGATGAAGCAGTAGGCAACACAGGCCTGGGAAGGAATCATGTGGTCAGCAAGTCACAGAGATGCTCGGTGTTCCCGTGCTCACCCTATACATGCTTCCAAGTAAAAACACTTAATCCTACTTTTTCTCTCGAATTACTCTATTTTTTCCATCTTTCCTCTCATCTGTCCAAAAATCTTTGGGAAGGTGGGTAGGGGAGTGTGGTACAGGCAAAGTAATTCTTCACCCATCGCTACAGGACATCACCTAATGTTGGCAAATGCAGAAGAAACACTTAAAGCCAATTCCTTATAGAACTAAAAACATATCAAAACAAATGGGAGAGTTGGATATAGTGGTACATGCCTATAATCCCAGCTTTGCAGGAGGCAGAGGTAGGAGCACAGAGGTCCCAAGCCAGCCCTGGGTAAAAAAGCATGACCTTACCTAAAAAAATTAAAGCAAAAAAGGGCTGGAAGCATGGCTCAAGTGGTAGAGAGCCAGCTTATAGTGTGAGGCCATTAGTTCAAACCCCAATACCACCAAAACAAAAAAGTTAGATTCAAGTGGCTTATGAAAATGCAAATCCATTTCTCAACCATCTCCTCAAAACACATCCAGTTTATCTGAAATGCTGCTTGAGACCAGAAGTGCTTCAGATCTTGGATACTGGAATATCTGCGTATATAAAGAGATGTCTTAGAATGGGACCCCAGTCTAAACACAAAATTCATTTTTGTTTCATATGCACTTTATGAAAGTGCCAATTTTACACAGTCTTTTTTTTTTTTGGGGGGTCCGGTCGTGGTGCCTGAACTCTGGGCCTGGGCGCTGTCCCTCAGCTCTTCAGCTCAAGGTTAGTGCTCTACCACTTGAGCCACAGCGCCACTTCTGGCTTTTTTCTTTTTGCTTATGTGGTGCTGAGGAATCGAACCCAGGGCCTCGAGCATGCAAGGCAAGTGCTCTACCACTGAGCCACCTTCCCAGCCCTACACAGTCTTTTTAATAACTCTGAGCAGGAGACCAAGTTCTACAGTGTAGAGTTTTCCATATGTGGTATCAGGCTGGTGCACACATCAGATTTTCGACTGGATCTGGGAACTGGAGAGGCCCTATCTGTATGAAAATTGAGGTGCCTTTGATCACTTTTTTAAAAAAAAATAACACAAAAACTGATCTACCCACAGATAACTACGGAAATTTTAATCTGAAAAATCAGGACAAAGCCATAAAGCACCCTAATGCTGACATACACTTATCCTCCTCTCAAAACAGCAAGTTAACAATCTGCAAACAAGCAACCCTCGGGAGGAGCATCCTTATCTTTTGCACGCACCCGGACAAAGGCAGCCGTCTTTCTGGAATGATTTCCCCTCATTACTTTCCTCGTTTCCATTGCCAAGCGGTTCACACTCTGATTTGTTAAGAAATAAAACAGAAATGGTCATGAAATGAGAGCTGATCACAGAGTGGGCAGGACCCGAAGTACACATGCATCAACCAAATAAGGCTGGTTAGCAACAGACCCCAAAATACCAAAGGGATCAGCAGGCCCACACAAGATCTTGTCTTGCACACATGTGCCAGAGGGTAGAACAAAAAGCAGCCCCTCAGTGAGCTGGGCCACCCATCAGCACCACAAATGACTGTTTTCTGGTTTAACGAGCATCCAGGGTTCACTTGAGGCACTTCCACAAATCCAACGTTCTAAGCTTAAGAGAAGCTTCCAAATCTAAGGGTATACCATTTAGCAATGTTATTTTAGCTATATTCACTAGCTCATTTGATTCTTTTTTTTTTTGGTCAGGTCATGGGGCTTGAACTCTGGGCCTGGGCACTGTCCTTCAGCTCTTCAGCTCAAGGCAAGCGCTCTACCACTTGAACCACAGCACCACTTCCGGTTTTCTGAGTAGTTTATTGGAGATAAGAGTCTCATGGATTTCCCTGCCCAGGCTGGCTTTGAACCATGATCCTCAGATCTCAGCTTCCTGAGTTAGCTAGTATTATGGGCGTGAGCCACCGGCACCTGGCTTCTTTTGATTCTTCTAGCCCTCCAGCTTGGTACTTGTTACCTACCCCCATTTTACAGATAGTCTCTACATTTTAGTTGTACTAAGGTGACTTCTAGCTGTGACAGCTCACCCCCATGCACCCTGGCCTCTTTTGGTCCCTTGCTACTGCATCGTGTGTGCATCTCCAGAACAGGGTCATGCAAAAAGTGAACTATGCAAAGGCAATGAGTGTGAAATAGAAATAAGCCATCAGTGTGTGATCTGCTTCCAAGGTTGGGCAATAATACAGTGCCCACCAAGTGTACACACTTTATTAGCAAGTAATTATACTTAAGAATGGAGTAAGTTGGGTGCTGGTGGCTCACACCTGTAATCCTAGCTACTCAGGAATCTGAAATCTGAGGATGGCGGTTCAAAGCCAGCCTGGGCAGGAAAAGTCCGTGAGACTCTTATCTTCAATAAAAAAAACATCAAAAAACCAGATGTGGTGCTGTGGCTCAAGTGGTAGAGCACTAGCCTGGAGCTGAAGAGCTGAGGGACAGCACCTAGGCCCAGAGTTCAAGCCCCATGACCAAAAAAAAAGCAGAACTAGAGCTGTGGCTCAAGTGGTAAAGAGCCAGCCTTGAGCAAAAGAGCTAAGGGACAGGGCCCAGGCCCCAGTACCAAGAAAATAAAAAAAGGAATAAAAAGGGTTTTCTTACAGTTGATATATATTACTTTTTCAATGTGTATTACTTTTACCAAGCTGTTAGGCCATGAACACTAAAGCTTTCTGAACCTAACCTCATAACAGCACTGTTACTAATTCTTTTGGCGTAAAGACCACGTATTCGGTGTAAGGCACTTAATTCTTTGGCATGCAGAAAGAAGAAAATACAAAGCACCGATCTTATTAACCCATGAGAAACTGGGCATGTAAGTTAGGGGTGAGCTGAGGTGGCAGACACAAGTCAACCACTGGTGGGGGGACGGGCAGACAGACAGAAAGCATTAATGGAGAGAATGAAAACCTTACGTGGATCAAGTGTACAAGAACAGGCTCCAGATTACAAAACATTGACCTGGACTCAACGTAGAAACTTATCTGCTGCTCAAAATCACGGCCAAAGGAAACCTAGGATCAAGGCAGGGAATGGTGTCGTTAGCAAGAACATGAACACACACATACACAAATACACACACACTTCTCTCAGTAGACAGGCTGTACGCACTTCACCCCGTGTCATGTTACTGGCTCAGCTTAATGGGTAAGACCACTAGAGTCAAGGGTACCTAATAGAAGCTCACACAAGAAAGGAGCTTCCAGGCTTAGGAGGACAGACATGGAAAAGGAAATGAGGGAATTTTGTTTATTAATCATGGACTTTTCACAGGACATAAGGTTGGACCCTGGGAGCCACTGATCTGAGGGTTCCCCTAACTTGGACCACACCTTTCTGCCTCCTAATGGAGACCCAATCTGGGCAGCTCAGTAGTAGCTGTCAGAGCCACAGATGCAGATCGAAGTTTCTCTGCCATAAAAGTCCCCCTCTCCTCTTTCCTGCAAATAAGAACAGCTGGATGGCAGGAGATCCACTGCTCCATTCATCCTTTCGCCCAACAAGGCTTAGCTTGACCATTTCCACTATGGCTATGGGGTCTCTTGTTTCCTCCAACACTTTTCCTAGTAACATGGTGACTTCCAGAGAAAGCTGTAATAGAATGAATACCCCTGGCAGGGTACTGTATAGAAAAGCTCATGGGACAGGCACTGGTCAAACCCACAGGTGCCTTTCCCACACGGGAATGGAAGGCTATGTCTCTATCTTCAACACAACTGACAGAACCAGGTGGACAGTTTCTTCAGCCCTTGGTGTTGAACAAGTGACAATTTCAAGGTTATAGCCAAGAGGTCTCATGGTTTTGGGTCCATTCTGTTTGGGTTCAGACATTTCCATTAAAATAGAAGACATAGCCAAGTGCTGGTGAGTTACACCTAAAATCCTAAGTACTCAGGCAGCTGAGATTTGAGGATCATGGTTTGAAGCCAATCTGAGAAGACAAATCCAAGACTCTATCTCCAGCTAGCAAGCAAAAATCTTGAAGTGGAGGCATGGCTCAAGTGGTTAGAGCCCCAGTTGGATTGGGGGGGGGGAGGAAAGTGAGAGTGTGAGGCCTTGAGTTCAAGCCCCAGTACCAGCACATGAGCACATGCACAAGTAGAGGGCACACCAAGCTAGGTGTGTCAGTGTATATCTATAGTTCCAGCTAGCAGGGAAGCTGAGGCAGGAGGATTTCTTGAGCCCACAAGCTCAAGGCCAGCCTGAGCAACATAGCAATGCCTCATCACATACAAAAGAACCCAGACATTGGGGTCAGTCGGTGTTTAGGATGCTTCCAAGGGCCACAATATTCCCCCCTGCTTTTGCTGTCTTTTCCCAAGGGCTCTCTAACTTCCTCCAGTCAAGAGGCGGCGTCTCTTCCCCTCCCCTCTATCCAGTCTAGCCTTGTGCCTTGCTTTCACCAACAACATGGAGTTGAATATAGCAGAGCTTCATTTTCTTTCCTCTCTTTTTGTTTTCAGTTGGTCATGGGGCTTGAACTCAGGCCTGGGCGCTGTCCCTGAGCTTTTTCACTCAAGGTTAGCGCTCTACCACTTGAGCAACAGCTCCACTTTGTTTTCTGGTGATTAATTGGGGATAAGTCTCATGGACTCTTCAAAGCCTTGGCTGGCTTTGACCCATGATCCTCACATCTTACCCTCCTGAGTAGGTAGGATTAGAGGTGTGAGCCACCAGCACCAGCTCATTTCTTTTATAATTAAAATTTTTTTAAAAAATAGTATTGCTATGTAGCCCAGGCTGGCCTCAAACTTGCCATTCTGTCTCGCCCTCCCAAGGTGCTGGGACTACAGTCATGCACCACCCCACCTACCTCACTGGGTAATTTCTAAGCCTTGGCCTTCGAAGGCCTTGAAGCTAAGGTGTATGCCCTCAGGTCGAGAAGCCAACACTGTGTAAGACAGCACAACTGAGAGAGACCACCCAATGATGAGAAGAGCTTGTACAGAGACACCCAACACACAGCCAGCACATGCCTGAGGAAGTGAGTGAGGTTGTCTTAGCCCTCAGCGCACTCTTTGCTATGTGCAGTTGACACCTGCTGGAGCCACCTGGCTACTTAGCAAACTTGCAGACCCATAAGAATTGGCTTACAGCAGTGACCCAAAGCCACCACACTCCAAGGGGAGTGAAACCAACAGAGAACTAGATACCCGTGTCTACTGTCATGGATGGTCACCAGCCATCGCAGAGAGCGACCCCTTTCTCACTGTGCTCCACATCTCCAGCAGTACATGTCTCTTGGCTAATCAGTGTGTTGGGACCTCAACCCAAGTTAAAACAAAGAAACTCAACTTTAGGACTTTTCTGAACTATAGAGCGGAGGGTGGAAATCAAGGCCTTAGCAAAGAGGATGGAGAGCGTGAATGTCTCCAAAAGAGAGGCAAGCAGAGCAGGGTAGGGAGCTGGAGCCAAAGACAACACCAACAGAGGGTCCTGATGACAGGACAGAGGCCCCAAGTCCAGCCGCTCCAAGGTTTCATGCATAGTACTTCTCCCCGCCTGTGACAGCCCCTCTTGTATCTCTCCTGAAGCCAGCTTGCCTTGGCTCTCTCTGACCCTGCGGGAGTCCTAGCTAATGGAAGATGTTTTCTAATTTCATCATATCTCAGTAAAAATGAACCGCAGTAGGAGACACGTAAACAATGACATCACATCTCCAGGCGCCCTACAACGTCTACCCCTGAACTTACCATTTTTATAAATCCATTAATCAGATGGGCCAGCGTTCTCTTCTCGTCTTCAAGAGTGAGTGCGCTAGAATCAATAATTGTGCATAATTAACACAGAGGCAACACACAAGTGTTTCTGAAGAGAAAAACCCAAGAGGCAAGCAGTTTAACTGATAAGTCTGTGTTGTCTAGATTTCAAAAGCTTTCCAACAGGCTGGGCATTTGGATAAAAAATCTGTAGTCAAAATGAGAAAAAAAAATTATGGAGGCTTCCTTCTCACCTTCAAAGATGCCATTCTCAAGCTAGGCTTACTAATAGGAGAAGGGAAGGTAACTTTCTCAGGATTATAGGCAGCAAGGCATAATGGCAAATCCTGCATTTTAGACAAAACGTTGACATTATATTATTTTTAAAACAAATCTTGCTGGGCGCCAGTGGCTCATGCCTGTAATCCTAGCTATTCAGGAGGCTAAGATCTGGGATCATTATCTGAAGCTAGCCCGGGTAGGAAAGTCCGTTGAGACTCTTATCTCCAATTAACTGGCAAAAAGCCGTAAGTGGAGCTATGGCTCAAGTGGTAAGTGCTGACCTTGAGCAAAATGCTAAGGGACAGCACTTAGGCTCTGAGTTCAAGCCCCAATACTGGCACACATACACACACACACAAAAAAAAGAACCTCTCACTCTCAGGGAGAATAATATGCTTCAAGTTTGATTTTTGTAATTATTCATGAATTTAATTCTAAAATTAAAAAAGAAGAAAAAAAGGAAAAAAGAACAGGAATGTATCTTCTTGATGCTGAAGTTCCAAAAGATTTTTCTTAACATTTTCCAGTAAGTCAAGCTGTTGTGCTTAAAAATTCTTTTGGAAACCAAAATAGCCACATATAAGCAAGAATTATCTTAAATCTAGTCGAATGGAAAAATGTGTTATTAAACAACAACCAAAAAGAAAAACCACACCAGAACTACAAAGTGGTGATAACTGTGCCTCTGACTGAAAGAGAAGGGCTGCGGACAGACGTGAGCCCTCATTCTCTCTCAGAGCCCTCCAGTAGGAAGCGTCAGCAGCTTCATCTGGATTTTCATGACGTGGCTAATAATGAGATAAAGTGAACAGGCTGCCTTGCTGGATGAGTGAGCTCACCATTATCCTGTCTCCCGCTCCACACACTGAGCTCTCTTGGGTGAAACCAGCCTTTCTCCTGCAGAAATCCCTAGCTGGCACATTTGCCATCTCATTTTCTCAGGAAGGTTGCCCTTAGCACTTGATTTTCCAGGGCTGGAATATCCTCATTACCAAGTCTTAATGGTCAAGAAAACTACCCAGGGGAAGCTTCTGGCAGCCATTCCCTAAGACACCCTGAGGTGGTTCTGAACCCCTAGCCAAAGCGTGACTTACTTCACAGAGTCATGCATAGTCTTGCAAATGTGCAACAAGGCATTCAGGATGACGGGGTCCTTGGTGGGTTCCTGCTGATGCCTGGGAAACAGGAGAGACAATGATAATAGGGATGAGCCAGTGACTTAGAAGCTGCAGACCAGCAGGCTAACACTGGGTGTGGCTCAGTTCACCAGCAATGACTGGAGGTCTAGGTTTCCTCTTCAGTCTTCTTTAAGAATAAGCTGCTCTCCTACATACGTGGTAGCACCCCCTAGCTGCAAAGCTAGAGCATAGCTACATGTGCTAGGCCCTGCAGAAGGCAAACCTGCTTCAATGCTGAACGGCTAAGATACCCACCACCTGACCTGGAACGTGCTACGTGCCAGGCAAACAGTAGCTTGTCCTTCCCAGTAAAACGAAATGGCCAACTTCCATAACAACTCCACCTGAGTAAAGTAGGGGCATTTTCTCTAGGCATATGAATGATAGTAATTTTTACACCTAGCCCAGGAACCATGGAAGGCCTGCAGAAGGCCTGGCACGTGACAGAATGAACACATATGCATCCCATGTGCTTGTCAGCTACCCTCGGCTGTTTGCCTGTATTGATCATTTTGCATGGCCCAAGAATGATGTTATAAATATCTAAATGGCCCTTGGCAGAAAAAAGGCTCTCCACCCAACAGAAAGATAAGAAAAGCTTACAACATAGTTGTGCAAGATCAAACCTCATTTTCCAACATAAAGAAATTTTCATTCTGTAAATTCTACCTTGTCCTAAATAGAACCCACATGAAATCACAGGTAAACTGACTATACAATAATGTCTAATATATTTAAAAACTCAATATGCAATTTTTGTTTTGTTTTGTTTTTGTCCGTCATGGGGCCTGAACTCTGGGCCTGGGCGCTGTCCCTCAGCACTTCAGCTCAAGGCTAGTGCTCTACCACTTGAGCCACAGCACCACTTCTGGCTTTTTCAGCTTATGTGGTGCTGAGGAATCAAACCCAGGGCCTCATGCAAGCAAGGCAAGCACTCTACCACTGAGCCAACTTCCCAGCCCTCAATATGCAATTTTTACAAAGAGTTTTCTGCTGGTCCACATACTGTCAGTACCCCTTGCTTTCCTTTTCTCTTATTACCCATACATTTGCTTCATTTTCTATATCTTATATATATTACCACTTGAATCCTAATTTTTTTTTTTTTTGGGTCCGGTTGTGGGCCTGAACTCTGGGCCTGGGCCCTGTCCCTCAGCTCTTCAGCTCAAGGCTAGCGCTCTACCACTTGAGCCACAGCGCCACTTCCGGTTTTTTTCTTTTTGCTTATGTGGTGCTGAGGAATCGAACTCAGGGCCTCGAGCATGCAAGGCAAGCACTCTACCTACCACTGAGCCACCTTCCCAGCCCCTAATTTTTTTTTTTTTTGGTCAGTCATGGGGCTTGAACTCTGGGCTTGGGCACTGTCCCTGCACTCTTCAGCTCAAGGCAAGCACTCTACCGCTGGAGCCACAGTGCCACTTCCGGTTTTCTAGTCGTTTATTGGAGATAAGAGTCTCATGGACTTTCCTGCTCAGGCTGGCTTTGAACCACAATCCTCAGATCTCAGCCTCCTGAGTAACTAGGATTACAGGCATGCACTACCGGCGCCCGGCTTTGAATCCTATTTTTATCCTTCCATTGGTCTCATTACTGGAAGGCAAAGTTGTTTTAAATAACTCTGTAATGCTGATGGCAGACTTACACAATACCCAGTTTTCACTTTGTTGGTTTATTTACTGCCGGTACTGGGGCTTGAACTTAGCTTCTGCTCTCAATTCAGCTTTTACTCACAGCTGGCACACTCCCACTTAAGCCATGCCTCCAACACTTTTTGCTGTAGTTATTTTTGAGACTGAATTCCCACTTCTTGCCCAGGCCAGCCTGAACCACATTCCCTTATGTTTCCTGCTTAGCTGGATGACAGCAGTGCACTGCTATACCCACTTTTTACTGGTTGAGATGAAATCTCAAGAACTTTTTGCCCAGGCTGTCTTCCAACTGTGATCCTCCCAAATTCTACATCACAAGAAGCTAGGATTATAGGTATGAGCTACCAGCACCTGCCTCCTTATAGTGTCTTAGGTATGAGATGTACACACGCAATATGATTTAACAACAAATTTTCCAGAGACACTCACTTGATAAAGGCTTCCATGATGGACTTGCAGACCTCTACCCGCACACTCTCTTTCTGGAACATGTCCAGAAATGGCAGAAATTTTTCCTAGAAATAAAGAAGCCAGCCTACATGCCATTGGCACAAAGAAGGGAGAGACAAAGGAAGGGAAGGAGGGAGGAAGGGAAGAAGGGAAAGAGGGAAGGAGGGAAGGGGGGAAAGGAGAAGGGCAGGGAAAGTGTTCAGGACTCCCTTGGGCTTTTAAACTATTTCAGGTTAAGCTTCCCTCACTTGAAACTCTCACTCGAAAATGCCCTAAAGTCTACAACTGTGTTGGCATCAACACATGCCAGGATTGGAAAGTTTCACACCACAAAACTTGGCTTTAGACACATGATTATTAAGACACTATACCGAAGTGCTCCAGGCCACATACACATAAAGCAGTAACCAATTTTGTGTTTATACTTGGGTCCACTCTAGTGTAATGAAACATCTCATTATATAAATACAGACATTGTAAAATCCACAAAGCATGAGCTCTGAAGTACCTGTGACCCCCACATTCCAGAAAGGACCACAAGCAGTATACCATGTGAAAGGAAACTAGTGTGCACGGGAACTGGGGAGGAAGGTGTCTAGTTCAATCTCAGGACTGGAAAGCTGTATGGCACCCAGCAGGTGTGCACATCCCACTGCTATGTAACCAACAAACACCAGCTCCACTTATGGCTTTTTTGCTGTTGGAGATACAAGTCTCATAGACTTTCCTGTCTGGGCTGGCTTTGAACTGTGATCCTCAGATCTCAGCCTCCTGAGTAGCCAGAATTGTAGGCTTAAGTCACTAGTGCCCAGCAAATGAAGAAAGCAGAGAGCGCTTCTCTTTTCAATTGATGTGTGTTATTTTTCCAAATGCTGCTTAGACTGTTAGGACAGAATTAATTCATTGATTTAACTGCTTTACGAAAGGAATGATGAGGAATTCTTACGGCCAGGGGGATGTTGAAAACCTTACTGAGAAATAGAATAGAGACTTGCAAAGACAGCCAAGGATCACTTACCACAGAGAACAGAACCGAGAAGTCATGGAAATGGGCAATAACTTTCTTGATTATTGACTGAAGCTGTAAAACAAAGCAGAAAACACTTTTAATAAAACTGGGAGATTTAAAAAAGGCAGCCCTCCTTCACAATGGAGATTCCTTCCCAACAGGTAGGCATAGACTGCTGGAGGAAGGGGCAGGGTCAGCCAGGTCCTGCCTTCCCCACACGTCCTACTTCAGTCCAGAAGCAACTACACAGGGGAACTCTGGGCAGCACCTGGGTGAGGAAAACAGATGGCCCACTCCTGCCCTTAGAAAGCTCTCCATTAACTGACTGCAGCCATTGTTGCTGTTCAGGCAGGGACACTATAAAGAGCCCACAGTCCACAACAACCACAGCAGCCATGCTGCTGGTGTACCAGAAAGGGAAATGGGTGGGGCTGGGATAGCAGTCGGCTGACCCTGACACTAGCCCCTTACAGCCCTAGGGTTTCTTCACTACTTCAGGGGGAGGATCTGCAGAGAGACCACCAGTGGGGTAAAGCTAGGATTACGCACCACACAAACCACACCAACCTCCTCACCACCGAGCTCCACCAAAGGTGCCAGTAGCTGTATGCGCGGCAATGGGGATCCACTCATCACCCTTCTTTTTTTTCTTCCTTTTTCTTTTTTGCCAGTCCCGAGGCTTGAACTCTGGGCCTGGATGCTATCGCTGAGCTTCTTTTGCTCAAGGTGAGTGCTCTATCACTTGAGCCACAGCACTATGCTTTTTTGGGTAATTTATTGGAGTTAGAAGAGTCTCACGGACTTTCCTGCCTGAGCTGACTTTGAACTGCAATCTTCAGATCTCAGCCTCCTGAGTAGTTAGGATTGTAGGTGTGAGTCACCAGCACCAGGCTCTTATCCATTTCTTAAAACTTTTATTTTCAAGTAATTTCAAACCTACAAAGATGCTGGAAGCTGAACTGCCATATCTTCTTTACCCAAATATACACATTTTAGATGTTTCTGCCGAATGCACTGCTCTGCTTTGGATTAATCCCCAGGTTTTGGGGTGTTAAAGGCGCTCACTCCAGAAGCAGAGCTGAGCAGGAGGTCGTTAGGTCACCGGGCAGGGCTGTGAGGGACTGGGGATGCTAGTCCTCCTACCTAGAACATTAAGTTCTTTACAAACAAAGGCGTGGCATGATGGATGGGGTACTCACTGTCAAATGGTTCAAGTAACACTGCTCACATGTAACTCTGTACATGTTGTGCTCACATTCACATATACACTTTACACATGAACAAATAAAGCAAATGTGCAAGATGTTTACAAGTAGTGAACCCAGGTCAAGCATAATGGGAATTCTCTGAGCTCTTTCCATTTTCCTCTAAGTCTAAATCATTTCCAAATTAAGTTAACTGAAAGGCACAGTCGCCTAACTGGTGACATCTGCCACATGTCACACAATGTGTGCCTCACAAGTCACCTCACTCAATGCCCATGATGACTTTGAGGGGAGGGCCAAGATCCCCCACCCCCCAGCCACATTTTCCAGCAACAAAATGGAAGTGCAAGTTCAGGTAACTGAGAGCCATGGCACAGCAAGGATATGAGGCACTAGGGCTCAAACCCAGGGTGGTCTGGCCTTATAGTCTGCCCCACCCAACTGCACAGAACACAGGACAGACAGAGCCCCCAGTGTGCTGCAGGTGACATACAAGCTGTTACCTGAGGGTAGGAGTCCTCAAATGCTCGGTCTGGGGTCATGTGCTTGATGACATCAGCCAACACCGTGTTCACCTCACGTTTCTACGTGGAGAGAATATATCATACCTGTTTTAGACACTAACAGCAATCACTGCTTATCTCCTGGGGGAAAGCACTGTGTTCGAAATACACCAAATATCTCCCAGGAAACATATTCAAATATTTAAATCACCTGGTCTAGACCCCTGCCCCAAAAATGGCCAGTGTCTGCTCCAACACACTCCTGAACTCTACATGTGCTCAAGGCCCCAGGGCTCTCTTGACTGGTGGCAAAGAAGGCCATGAAGCTTTCTAACCACCTATGTCAAGAGCAGCACCCACTGTGGGGAAAGCACAGCCTCGAGAGCTGGCTCACTTCTGTCACGTGTACCAGCTGGCCATCTACAGTCCTGATCCAGCCTACTGTTCCATAGCTGGCAAGGCAAGTCATTCAAACAGTACTTTGTGACTGGAAGATTAGGAGATTCAAATCTCACTATGTATAAGCGGTTTCTTGGAAGGCAGTCATGCTAAAACAAAATACCATGAGCTGGGTGGCTTAGAACAACAGAAGTTTCTTCTCACGGTTCTGGAGTCTGGGCTATCCCATATGGAGACGGGGATTGACTGTGTCTAGTGAGGACGTGCTGGCTTACTATGTCCTGTCAGGGTGAGGGGCCAACAAGCACCTCTGGGCTTTCAGCACAAGGCACTGATTCCATTCAAGGGAGTTCTATTGCCATCTCTCACAGGCTTTACTCTACTTCGCTGGTGTCCTGGGACAGCTAACTAAGAGTTGGCACAAATCAGGCCAAGCAGCTATTGGCCGCTATTCTGTCAGCAGTGTGCATCTAGGCAGCTGCTTGTGGGCCCAGCTCTTAATACCATCACACAGGGGATTAGGGGTGTGTGTGTGTGTGTGTGTGTGTGTTTGCTCTACTACTTGAGCCGTGTGTGTGTGTATATGTGTGTGTGTGTGTTTGCTCTACTACTTGAGCCGTGTGTGTGTGTGTGTGTGTGTGTGTGTGTGTGTGTGTACAATTGCTCTACTACTTGAGCCATGCTCCCAACACAGTTTAGTTGTGTTCCAGATAGGGTCTTGTGCTTTTATCCATACTCCTACCTCCACCCACAGAGCTGAAATTACAGGTCTATACCACCATCTCCAGCTTGGTGTTTTGAGATAAGGTCTTGCTAAGTCTTCCCCACTCAACCCCCAGTATATCCTCAAAACTGCAATCCTCTGAACTCTGCCTCTCGCATGTAGCTGAGATTAAAAATGTGAGCCACTGTGCCTGGCCTATGTAAATTTTAACTTTTTTATTGGTATTATAAAGGTGACATACAGAAAGGTTGCAGTTATATAAGTCAGGTAATGAGTACATTTCTTTTTGGATAATGTCACCCCTTCCCATGTTCTCTCCCAGTAAACTACAATTTTTAATGCTGATTAGAATAAACAACTGCTAACAGTATCTGAACCTACTTCTACCCACTTCTAAAGTCGCTACTCATTGATAATCCTGTGGTTCCCATAGTGTGGTTGTAGTCTATTCCTTGGGAAAGACGTATATACACAGGGGAAAAAAAAAAAAAAAATCACATGCAAATCTAATCTGTTTGCCAAATGCTGCTTTCTATACTTGGGACGGAAATTCACAATGTACTTCAGATTCTAAGCATTGCTGAATTTCGTGTAATGCAGGGTTGCCCAAACTGACATGTCCTATGAACACTCCTGTTAAAGTATACAATAATCAGCACGCAATCACACTAAATACAGAGGAAACATTTACAAATTATGGGATATTCTCAGTTTACCATGACAAAACACACCTTGATCTGCTATTTAGGAACATGAAGAAATACAATTTTAAAAACTACCCATAGCCATACGTACTGTGAAATGCTTGCAGGTGTACTCCACCCACACTTCAGCACAGTTAATGTAGTCCTGCAAAGAAAACATAAAGGTATCTTTACAGCTAGCACAATGTGGTTTAGCCTGTGGCAAAGTTTGCCATAGACAAATTGGTTCCTGGGTGATGACAAAAAAGAGAAGCAGAGTTCTTCCCCAATACAGAGGGGGCAGAACATTAATAGGAAAAGCAAGTCAGTCGGCCATTCCATACACCTCACGCCAGGATGTGAACCTGAACAGCTCCGTGCACGCAACGGAGAAGCCCTGCCATACCTTAGCCAAGAAACAACAGGGCAGCTACTGAAACAGTCAAGGCTACTTAAACATGTTTTTGTGGCTGTTTGTAATCCTAGCTAGCAGGAGGCTGAGATCTGACCAGCCCAAGCAGATACATCTGTGAGACTCCATCTCCAATAACCAGCAAAAAAGTGGAGATGTATCTCAAGTGGTAGAGTACTAGCCTTGAGCAAAAAAGCTCAGGGACAGCACCCAGACCCTGAATTCAAGCCCTAGGATAGGTGCACACAGAAACAATTCAATGACAAATGCAAAAAGAAAAAGAAATCCACCAAGCAAGAGTATGAAGCCCTGGCACAAAAAAAGTGCTTTCTGCAAGTTTAGAGAAAGATTAAGCTTGCTGCCTTCAGAAAAAAAAATAAAGCATTTGTTCTGTATGGGTGATGTATGTATACAGTATGTATAAAAAGCCTAAGAAAACAGTGAAGAGTGACAATGACAATGAGCCAGGTTGCTTGGGCCGGGAACCCAGAGGAGGCAGAGCAGTCATGAGGCACACAGCTGTGTGGCCTCTACTCTTACGCCAGAAGGCAAAGAAGAGGAGAGCAGCTACAGTGCAGTTACCCACTGCCAACCAAGCTCTGAGGATGGTAAAGAGAAAATTCCAGACATATTATGGTATTCTAACTTGGGTGTCATTCTTAATCTCATACTCGGCCTAAGGTATAAAATGAAGCTTTAGTAAAGGGGGGTAGGAGCAGGAAGCAAACGGGTCCATGTGTTTAGAGGTACCCCATGGGGGTCTTGGCTGTACCACTGCACAGAAGGAAAGGACTATTGATGGGCACAGGATGAGCCAGGATCACACCTAGGTCTAACCCAATGGGAGGCAGATAAGCTTCATGAGGCAGGTGAAGGCACCCTGGTGCAGGCTGCTCTAAGCACAAGTGCAGGATCCCCCACAAGTCCTCGACCCTGAGGAGGTTTACTGACACAAAGCTGCTCACAGCAAGGTGCCTGCACAGGTCATGGGATGACAACACTACACTCAGTGATGTATGCATTCCTCATGTTTGCTGCTTTGCTTGGGGTGGCGAGAACCCTCTGCATCCTGTGAACCAGCACCTCATGCTAGAGCACAGGCCCTGACCTTTGGGCAGCTATGGTCAGATGAACAAAGCTGAAGAGCTGCTGCCTAATGACCATTTCCTAAGTGATGCCTTGGTGGATGATTTTCTAAGGAAGCTCTTAGTTTTCTAAACTGTCACATTGTTTTTTACAGTTACAGCAAGTGCAGGACTACATGCTTGTCTAGTCTTCCATAGTCACTCGCCACCGGCCGGGGGATGACAGGGCAGAGCAGTGAGCTCTGTCCAGCTGCTCCTGTGGCCCTCAAGGCATCAGTTGCTGGCCTGTAGACAAGAGGATGGTAAGCCAGGAAGCCAAACCTGCAACCTATCATATGGCCACTACATGCAGATCAGTAACTGACAATATCATCTGTCACCCCGACTTCCTACACCTGGTCAACAAAACAGAAGTGGCCCCATTCAAGGGCTGGAATTCCCATATGCTTATTACTGCCTCAACTGCTGTCTTCAGCTTAGGAATATCCTACTCGATCAATGTTTCCAAAATAGAATTCTCTAGATTTGCAGTCTGAATGCCCTTTTTCTCTGCTAAGGTCTTTTGCACATATCTAACATCATTCACAGGCCACACAAAATGATCCACACGGGCATGGCTAAGGTAGCTGACCAGAAGCACATGCGTATGTCTGTCTCGTCAGGTACAAAGTGGTTTCACAGGCCTTATGCAGCCATTGGCTGGACATTGTCCAGCCCTGGAGAGTCATAGGTCTTTTAAAGTGTCAAACATTTGTCATTTTACCTTCCAGTATATCTCCAATCCTCAAGAATGAGATCAGTTTACCACAACATGTTTGTAAATGATAAACATTTTGTAATTTTATTTATTAGTGCACAAAAGGGTTTGAGAGTCTTTTTTTTTTTTTTTGGTCGGTTGTGGGGCTTGAACTCTGGGCCTGAGCACTGTCCCTCAGCTCTTCAGCTCAAGACTAGTGCTCTACCACTTGAGCCACAGCACCACTTCCTCACAAAAGGGTTTGTTGTACAAAGTTCTTAAGTGTTCTGAGTTTAAATATACTTCCTCCTAGATTACTTCAGTCTACAGCTGACCACTATTACTTTTTATAAAAAACTAAGAATTTGAACAGCTAAAAGATCACTTAAGAGAAAAACAAGACTAAGTATGCATTGCATAGCTTGACAAAAAGCAGCTGCCCTAAGGTGTAAGTGGCCACTCACTCACCTGTGGATTCTTCAACTTAGTAATGACCTTCCAGGCTTCATTGAGAATTTGGAGTCGATCACTCTCAGGTGGATCAGCCAAGGCCAAGTTTAACCCCAACGATCGAAAAAGGAGATGCTAAGAAAATACCAAACCTTTATGTTACCAAAGAGTTTGATTCAAACTAACAGAGGTTTTAAAAAAAGAAGGCTGTAACATTCAATGTGTCTCACAAAATTCTCAAATACTTCTTTGGGAAGTCCTACTTCAGACCCACTGGAGCTACACTCAGCAGCTAAAACATAGAACTGACTCCAGGGTTAGAGGCATAGCCCAATGGTAGAGCACTTGCTTAGCATGCAAAAGCCCTGAGGTTGTAAAGGTATTAGAATAGGCCAGACACTGGTAGCTCATGCCCGCAATCTTACTCAGGAGGCTGAGATCTGAAGGCTAAGGTTCTAAGCCAGCCGAGGCAAGAAAGTCTGTAAGACTCTTACCTCCAATTAACCACCAAAAAGCCAGAAGTAAAGCTGTGGCTCAAGTGAGCAGCCATGAGAAAAAAATCTCAGGAACAGTACCCAGGCCCTGAGTTCAAGCTCCAGTACAGCACAAACAACAGGTAAAAAAAAAGTTGGTAAAATTTAGGGGCTGCAACAATCTAGTGGAGAAAACTTTGCCCTAATGAGTAAAGAAATATTTTTGAAGACGTAAGACCTTGGTCCATCTTCAGTACTCTGTAGTGAGCTCATGGGACAGACTCGGAGTTCACTCAGCAATTCAAATCTGTGTCCCATCCACCTACACTGGCCCCAACAGGGACTCTGCCCAGACAGCGATCAGCTCAGCACTGCTATCAGCCCTGCTGCGTTAGGTGAGGAGCCTACCTTGGGGAAACCAGACTCGTCGCACTCTTTAATCATGCCAATGAAATCCACAGACCTGGCTGCGATGAACTCGGCGCGGAAGGCTGACATCACAGAGTTCAACAGCAAGGCACTGAAAAACACGAACATCCCCATCAGCCCACTTTCCCCTGAGGATAATGTACTCTAACCTGAGGATGACAGACAGGTCTGGAGTGGCCAAGGTTTAAAAGAAGGGGAAAAAAAAGACTGGTAGAAGAAAGGAATGGAATCTCTAGAGACTACTGTGGTGTTTTGTGCATATCAGAATTTGATCAATGTTGAATTAACTGAATAGATAAATGGATGGATGGACGGATGATTGATGGATGGACAGAGAGACAGTTAAATCAGCAAGCACTTCAATCCATTTAAACAGCAGTGAGCCGTAAATATGCTGATGGGCTAATAAAACCAAACATTAGCAATATTGATCCCTGCCATAAATACCCACCCAGAGTGATCTTAAGTTCCAGACACAGGGGACCCTGGGGAAAATATCACCTGTTCATGGCTGTGTTCACATCTGCCACCAAAAGAAGAGAAGAGGGTGTCCCCATGCCAGGAGGAGGGTCAAGTTCATCCTGGCCCTACCACTTAATAAAGCATGAGGAAAGGACTGTAATTATCATCCCAATTTACAGACAGGGAGACTGAGGCACAAAGAGGTCAAGGCCCCAGGGGCAAGGCAGAATGGAGCTGGGATCTGAGCCAGGCACCCAGACTCCAGCTCTAACCCTCTGGACTACGTTGCTGGCCTGTGCATTCTCACACATGCTATCAACCCAGGCTGTATGAATCACCAAGTACTTACTTGTTTCCTAACTTCTTACATCTCTCCATCATCTCAGTCAGCAGAGCCTAGAAAGTTTAACAGGAATTAAAAAAAAAAAAAAAAGTTTAACAGGAAAAGCATCAGCTTGGAGATCTGAAAAAGAAAACATCCTAAGGGATTTCAAGCACAGTACCCACACTGTGGCATGTGCAGCCATCAGTGAGGGCAGTGACAGTGGGGAAGGAAAGGCATGAAGACTTCACACGGTGGCTTCTGATGGAATGGAGTAAGGCCAGGGCCTAGTGTCAGACGCACAAGGCTTTCCCAGATAGCCTCGATAGCTCCCAAGGTCAAACCTCAGCCCAGCACTGACCCCACACATACAAGCAGAGGACACACCAAGCTAGGTCCGCTACACAACCAGGATCTCCTGGCTACAGGGTATGAACCAGGAAGGAAAAATACTTTGTCCTCACCTTTCCTTTGACCTGCTTCCCATGGTGCCTATAGTTTGTTCAGAAATTCAATCAACAACTACAAGGCTGGAGCTCAGGGCCACCTGAGAAGCCCCACCCCCATGTTCTTACCTCCCACCCACCCACAAGGCAGGAGCTCTGCTCTCCCACTGTGCACTTATGGACAGAAACAGGCTTCGCTCACAAGGCCTGCAAAGGCAGCTGGGAAACTGGGAAGCTGAGCAGCCAGCCCCAAGAACCAGTTTTTCCCACATGTCCTCTTCTGGTATTTTCCACTATTTGTTATCCCCAAAGGAAGTACATGGTTTACTTGCTAGAATTCTGTTTACGGCTTTAGAGCTGTCTTCAGACAGCTATGTGCCTTCAGAAGAGCTCCTGTTTTGTAAAAATAAATAAAAAATCAGTGTATGAAGCAACCTTTAGCATAGTGGTTTGGGGAAGGTTTTGAAATGTACAGGCAAGGTCAAGCCTAAGATAGCATTAGCACACTAGTGCTTGGCCCTGTGACTCCCAGGGCACAGGCCCCACGTCAAGAGACTTGGTCCTCATTCACATCACAGAGGCAGGGAGGCCTGGAAAAGTCAGGCCCATAGAACACACTTGGCTTCCCACTTCCTGAGTCAGTGTCTGAACCTGACCTTGAAGTCTGCCATGGTATAATCCAATCTTCCCTCACTGGCTCTCTCTTCATCCCTGGTACAGCTCAAGCAACTCAGGTGACAGCCAACCAGGGTCATATTCCACATTCCTGTTTTCTGAAGTGAGATAAACTCCAGATTGCTAGGAAATGTGTACTTGTGCTTTTATAAAATAACCTTCCATCACTGTTTGCAAATTCTACTTCATAAAAGAGAATGAAATGATATGCGTATCATCTTTTCCTCCTTATTTTCCTAAGTGAAGCAGAAATGTAAAAGGCCAGGCTAAATCAGAAATGCATCTTGAGAACTAACTCATATCCTTTCTCCAGTCCAAATATGTTCCAATCTCAGGAAATAAAATAGTTTAACGTGAATAAAGAGAAAATCTATTTCCCTGGCATTAAAAGAGAGAGAGTGAGTTTCCATTGCTCTCCCTTGGTTTCTCCTTTGTGACTCAGAAAGGAAACTTAACAGAAAGTAGTTAGCCTGATCCTGTCTTACAATGTCTAAGCCCTCAGCTAACAGGCATTAAGTTACTTTGCTGGAGCTGGCCTTGAACTCAATGTCTTCCTGCTTCCACCTAACTAAACAGATTTCAGGTATGATCCTTTGTGACTCAGAAAGGAAACTTAACAGAAAGTAGTTAGCCTGATCCTGTCTTACAATGTCTAAGCCCTCAGCTAACAGGCATTAAGTTACTTTGCTGGAGCTGGCCTTGAACTCAATGTCTTCCTGCTTCCACCTAACTAAACAGATTTCAGGTATGTTCCACCATACAGGCAGTGAATTTCAATTTCGTGTGTGTGTGTGTGTGTGTGTGTGTGTGTGTGTGTGTGTGTGTGTGTGTGTGTGTGTGTGTGTGTGTGTGTGTGTGTGCTATTCCTGAACATTTTTGCTCAAGTATTAACTGGATATAAAAATCTAATGGACTGTTCTACCCCAGCTAACAGGCATTAAGTTACTTTGCTGGAGCTGGCCTTGAACTCAATGTCTTCCTGCTTCCACCTAACTAAACAGATTTCAGGTATGTTCCACCATACAGGCAGTGAATTTCAATTTCGTGTGTGTGTGTGTGTGTGTGTGTGTGTGTGTGTGTGTGTGTGTGTGTGTGTGTGTGTGTGTGTGTGTGTGTGTGTGTGTGTGTGTGTGTGTGTGTGTGTGTGTGTGTGTGTGTGTTATTCCTGAACATTTTTGCTCAAGTATTAACTGGATATAAAAATCTAATGGACTGTTCTACCCCAGCTAACAGGCATTAAGTTACTTTGCTGGAGCTGGCCTTGAACTCAATGTCTTCCTGCTTCCACCTAACTAAACAGATTTCAGGTATGATCCTTTGTGACTCAGAAAGGAAACTTAACAGAAAGTAGTTAGCCTGATCCTGTCTTACAATGTCTAAGCCCTCAGCTAACAGGCATTAAGTTACTTTGCTGGAGCTGGCCTTGAACTCAATGTCTTCCTGCTTCCACCTAACTAAACAGATTTCAGGTATGTTCCACCATACAGGCAGTGAATTTCAATTTCGTGTGTGTGTGTGTGTGTGTGTGTGTGTGTGTGTGTGTGTGTGTGTGTGTGTGTGTGTGTGTGTGTGTGTGTGTGTGTGTGTGTGTGTGTGTGTGTGTGCTATTCCTGAACATTTTTGCTCAAGTATTAACTGGATATAAAAATCTAATGGACTGTTCTACCCCAGCTAACAGGCATTAAGTTACTTTGCTGGAGCTGGCCTTGAACTCAATGTCTTCCTGCTTCCACCTAACTAAATAGATTACAGGCATACAGGCATACACCATAACAGGCAGTGAACTTCAATTTCAATTGTATGTGTGTGTGTGTGTATGTGTGTGTGCTATTCCTGAACATTTTTGCTCAAGTATTTTATTACTTGAGCCACAGCTCCACTTCTGGCTTTATGTGGTTAACTGGAAATAAAAATCTAATGGACTGTTCTACCCCAGCTGGTCTTTTTTTTTTTAAGTTGGTCGTGGGGCATGGGCACTGTCTCTCAGCTCTTCAGCTCAAGGCTAGCACCCTACCACTTGAGCCACAGTGCTACTTCCAGCTTTTTTCTGCTTATGTGGTGCTGAGTAATCAAACCCAGGGCCTCATGCATGTGAGGCACTCTACCACTGAGCCAACTTCCCAGACCCCCACCCCCGCCCCATCCCAGCAGCTGGTTTTTAAACTATGAGATCAGATCTGTCTCCTGAGTACCTAGGATTACAGTTATAAGCCATCAATGTCTGGATCAATTTAGAGCTTTATATATCAAATATTCACCAATAAAGGAATTCCTCCTTCCTCTCCCTCACAGGCCTGCGCTGGTTACTACCAACAGCTGCAGCTACACTTTCCAATCCCTTCTGTGGAGGCCCAGCTTGTCAAGGACACACACAGCTCTAGTACCCAGTTGCATCATCTCAGCCATCATCAAAAGCTTCAAGCACCAACTGTCCCCTGTATCTTCACCACACTCCGTACTGACATCAGCAGTTCTGCATTCTCATCATGGCAATTCGAGGCCCTCTTTCATGGGCCCAGGAACCAGCATTGTTACTCAAGTGACCCAATTTTTAAATCTCTTGGGCCAGTTCAAGAATGGTTTCCCAGAGCTGGGCTCCCCAGCAGGTGCTATTCTCAGCCCCAGCCATCCACTGGGGCCTGAGCTCAGAATAGAAGGAAGAGGCCTGTGTGCCTGCTGGTTCTCATCTGATTCTGCCTTTCACTAAAGTGAGAAGGAAAAGAGCACCCTCCTCTTCAATTCCCCAATCCTGGCACCATGAATAAGTCACCTGGTGGAATGCAAGGGCTGCCCTCAAGTTCATGATCCCTCTTCCCAGGAAGTAGGGACAACGTGTGGCCCAGACCATGCTAAAGACTAAATACATTTTCAAACAACGTTCACCGGCCTCAGAGTCAGAGTCTATGAGTTAATGTCCAGTCACTACTACTTCCCAGCTGTGTGACCTCACACAGCATTCTGACCTCTCTAGGCAGCCACCTCCCAAAGCCATTAAACAAGATAATCCATGCAAAGCATTTAGCACAGAATCAGGTCCCTGCTATCACAGTGGCTGTGGAAAGGATGCTGAGACATCACCAGGCAGGCACACAGGACAGGCAGTTACCTCAGGGGCATGGTAGGAGACACACTGGAAGATCCAGTCCATGGCGGGCGAGTACAGGGGGAGGTAGGATGGGAGCTCCACTCCCTGGAGCACCAGCTGGTTCTGGACTGAGTCTCCATGGATCTAAAGGAGATCAAAGAACACTCAGAAAAGGAGCCAAAAGTGTGTAACTCACAGCACAAGCAACTCGGAAGTGCCAAGGAAAACTCCAATGGAAACAGCCTGGTTTCTCATCTGATTTTTTCCCTCCCCAACTACAAAAAAAAAATGTTTTTTTTAGTTGAAACAATAAAACAAAACATCTTCCGTGCTACCAGGCTGAGATGCCATGGCAATTTGTACGAGGGAGCCTGCAGATGCCAGGAAGAAAGGCTAGCCACAGGAGTGGCCTCCTGTTCACATACACGCGTGCAACCTTCTCTGCTTTGAGACTCCACACACTCTGCCGGTGTTATTTGTTCTCCAGCATTTGCACATTGAACAGGCAACAAGGCTCTTGGCAAGGAATACCCTCTGGGTTTTATAAATTTACGATTGTGTACGTTTCTTCAACAAGCCGCTAAACATCATTCTCGTACCTGTTTAAACGTAAGCAAGAAGTCAAAGAAGTTCTTATTGAGGCTCTCCTTGAGGTGCGGGGCCACTTCCATGCCCACCTGCAGCCAAGCAGACAAAAGTTAGCCCTACAATGAAAGAATCCACCTCTAGTAAGACATAAAAGCTGATGCCAAAAAATTCAGTACACATAGGTAAAGACTTAGAAGAAACACCCAAGTTCATTTGTAATCTCTCTGCTTATGTTTTGCCACTCAATAAACAAATGTTCTTATAGGAAAAACCACAGGTGCTATTTTTAATGAAAAAGAAGCATCACTTGAAGTCATCATCTTTGCAATGTCCCAAAGGGAATGAATGTATTTCTGAACAGATGACAAAGAGAACAAATCAATAGAGAACCCAGGAGAAAGGCTCTTGAGATTGTGCCCACAAAGTTCTCTTCCTCTCAAAAAAATAGGATTACCATGCATGGGTTTGTACTTATTAAATGAAGCAAAAAGGCTCACACTTGTAACCCTAGCTACTCAGGAGGCTGAGATCTGAAGCTCAAAGTTCAAAGCCAGTCTGGGCCGATAAATCCATCAGACTCTTAATCTTCACTTAATCGGAAGTAGAACTGTGACCTAAGTGGTAAAGTGGTAGCCTTGAGCTTAAGAGCTAAGGGACAAGCCAGCGAGGGTGGCTCACACGTGTAATTCTAGTTACTCAGGAGGCTGTAATCTGAGGATCACGGTTCAAGGCCAGCCTGGGCAGGAAACGTCTGTGAGACTCTTATCTCCAATAAACCACTAGAAAACTGGAAGTGGCGCTGTGGCTCAAGAGGTAGAGCGCTTGCCTTGAGCTGAAGAGCTGAGGGACAGCACTCAAGCCATTTTCAAACCCTGGTACCCACATAGGAAAAAAAAAAGGTAATACTTGGGCTGGGGTGGGGCTTGGTGGTAAAGCATGAGCTCTGAAGGCCTGGGTTCGATGCTCAGACTTCACATGCCTGGCTATGACTGTGGCATTGAGAAAAGTGCCACACAGATTCATTCTCTGCTGCACAATCGTGGAACCCACGTGCCTTTCAATGTATTTCAAGTTGTTTTACAGAAGACAAGCCCGAAGCACAAAAAGCCATGATCCAGAGACTCCTGAGTTTTCAAGTCTGAAAAAAACAACACTTGGTGCATATCATATAAGGTGACTTTTCTTTCATGTCTAGCAGCAGAGGTTTGCCAGAGCACTGGGGTGGGATGAAACAGGAGCTATGCAGGAGAAAGACTGTTTAAAACAAAAACAAATGAAACTATTCCTAAACCTGAGCTCCTCAGTCATGCCTCTGCACAGAACCAGCTCCCAAGGACTGTTCCTTCCAGCAAGGACACATCACTTCTCTGGGCCCAGGGGTCCGGATGGCTAACCCTAACAAGGCTTCTGGATGGCTGCAAGTCTTTGGGAAGAAGTGGTTAAAACCACAAGGCAATTAAGTTCCCGGAGCAACCCTCTGGCTGTTGGGGACAGAGTAGGGCATTTCCAAGGAGAAACATACAGATTCCAAAAGAATACCATCACCCAGCATCAGGTCCAGCTCTGCTGGGCTCTGATTTCATTGTCTTTCCTTGCACTTAACCACACAGCAGCAAGGCAGTAATTATGTACTGGGTGACAGCAAAGGCCGGCCCAGTGGACAGTGGTGGAGGTGGACTGACACACATACCAGTGGGAGTAGCAGCCCCAGCCCTCCCCCAAGCCCTCCTCCCACTATCTGCTACGGCGTCTTGTTTATCTCTTCCCATTGGGCCAAATGAGGAGTTTGGATCTGCCTGGGTCTAAAAGACTTCTGGAGTAGCAAGGGAACAGCTGGTGGTTCCCGCCCATTGGCCATCTGGGCCCACTTCCCTCTGGGGCTTTCAACAGCAGACTGGGGCTCTTTGGGTAGTCAAACCATTCTCTCAGACCATCAGGCTATGGGTGAGCCAGACCATGCTCTCACCCCACCCTGGATCCAGAGTGCACAGATGGCCACAGCAACCAGTCTAAGGATGGCAAGTGTCCCAAAGTGACCCACCAGAAATAAGCCCTGGCAGGACCTACTGGGGAATGGCACTGTTCCTCCATGTTTCCCGCAAGTCACAGAACGAAGCCATTCAGAAGTAAGCCAACACTTAACCCACCTGATCTCAAGGCCCCAGATCCAGCCAAGTTGTCCCTCACTGCAATCCTGATGCACACAAGCCAATAAACCCTTTGTGCTTCAGAAAGTCTCAATCTACTCATGCACCAGCTGATTTCCTCTTCTCCTCCCCTTCAACTTGTAAAGAATCTATTCATGCGTAAGTGGTCTTTTTTCTTTTTCTTTAGTGTTAGGCGGGCACTGAGTTACATCTCTAACCCTCTTATTCTTTTTTTTTTTCCCCCTTTTGAGACAGGGTCTAGAACATAAGATTCTCCTGCCTCAGCCTTCTGAGTGCTGGGATTATAGGCATGGACACCACATCTGGCTCCTCTTCATTAGTCTCATATCAAAACCCTTTCCATCACTACCCTACCCACTCAGCCAGGGGCCTTGGGGTGGCACCTGCACTAGCAGACAATTCCCTGGCACAGGCCCGCTCCTTCCCCAACTTCTTCCTCAGGGTCATTCAGTTCTCTAGTGACACCTGCCACTAAAAGACAACATCCATGTGACAAACACTGTCTTTTCCCCAGCTTATGTAACTTGCATCTGAGTGCAAAACTCAACAGGTTTACAAAGAATGTGTACTTTTTCCCTCTCTGATTTCTCTTTAGAAAGCATGCCATCGTGCAAATGTGTGAGTGCTGACATTGTTGTAGCTCATGGGACCTGGCAGTGTTTTGCACACAGCAGGCAGACACTTAGCAACTCTGACTTGGGACGTGTGTTCAAACTTCGGGACATTCAAAAACTGAAGCTTTAGGAAACAACTTGATATTCCTAGATGAAACATAACTCCAAATTTCAAGTAGAAAATGATGCTACACCTTCCAGCCCTGCTACAAGGGGAGGGAGGCTGGTACCCCTTTCTCTCTCCTCATCAAGATGCTGGGCACTCAGGACTGTGACTGGGGTTTTCCTGATGTGATGCCCTCCGGCTTCGGTCATCGGCCGGATGTCATGTAAGAGAAGCAAATTGAAGGTTGTGCCAAGGGATGGGATGTTTTCAATAAACAAAACCCTGAATGATTATAATTCTACCTCAGCTCTTAAGCAGCAGCTGAGGCTCCCCAGACTGAGGTGAGCAGTTAAGAGCGACACAACTCCCCCAGGCCCTCACCACCTCACCAACGCTTTAACAAAAAGACAAAACCCCAAATTGACCCATGGAGTTCAAGACAAGGGACAAAAACGCCTAGCGTCCTTGGAAAGCCCAGGAGCCTTTTGCCTGGCCAGAGGCAAGAAATGTAATTCTGAAAACCAGTTCATCTGTATGAAGATGACCTTAAATGTTCCCTAATTAGAGCTATGGTTAAGTTGGTCTACTTTAAAATTAACTTCTCCAAGAACTCTCCAGCAGCTCTACTTTCTGTGGAAGAGCTATGGCCTAAAATTAGCAGCTAATAAGGCCTTCCTCTGGGTGCCTGTACACAGCGGGGAGAGGGAGGCTGGGGAAGAGGAGGGAGAGGAAGGGGATGGCAAGCAGCCATAGCTACATGGAAAGCTTACCCGGCACAGGTAGGCCCGGGCATACACAGACACCAATGGGTCCCCGATCCCTCTGATCACGCAAGAGAGCCGTGGCAGGCATTCGGAAATCCCACTGTGGGAGACAAAAAAAAAGTTGCCATGATACATGTGAGAGAACTCCATGTTCTATTTCTGCAGTGGAGATAAAGCAGCAGGCAACCGGAACCCATTACCAGCCATTATAGGATGGTGAATGTGGGTCAGGGTCTGTTCTGGGCTGGGTGTGAGTCAGGGTGTATGCACAGCTGAAAGGGCCCAACCCAGACCTCCTACGATCAGGCTCAGAATCTAACAACCTGCTCAAGACCACCCAGGCTGGAAGATCAAAGCCAGATGCAAATATGGTAAGGTAGCTCTTCCCAGAGCTCTCCAAGCTGCTCCACCACCCTCTCTCCTAGAGTGGGATTTCCTCAAGACAGTGAGTAAAACAGACAGCTCTACCTCACTCAGACCTGTGTGTGTATTCCACACAAAGTTTTCATGAATGGCAGCCACTACCACCTGCCATCTGTTGCTGGTTATGGGGCCCGACATGACAATCTTAGAAGTCACAGTTCTAGACACTGAAGAAGAGCCTTACGTTTTAGAAAGGAATCTGTTACACTTCAGTATGGATGTTTCCACATAACTACAGAAACATGCCGTTAAGGAAAACATTTTCAAGGTGCCCAGTTCCTGCAGGCAAAAACAATTCCAGAAGAAAACCAGGCAGGCAAGTCTCAGGAGAGAGGGAGGGCCTGGATGGCACTCAGTAACCCAAAGAATTCAGTTAGCCAGCGGCAGGCTCTCTACAGGGTTCTCAAACTCTCATACTTAAAAGCTTGTGAAATTGTTACAGGATTGACTCATGGTTGCATGTGGAAATTTAAAGTAGGTTTAGCACATTTCTAATCAAGGCTTTCTGGGGAAAACAATGAACCTGAGATAAGTCACAGTTCATTCTGTAATGCTGGCATTTATACAGAAAAGCTTGACCTTGGTTGCTTTTTGGCATTTTTGGAATCAGAGACTCACATCAAAACAAGGCAGCTTCACGGAGCAAATTCATGTGAAAATGGTCCTTGGGAAGTAAGAGCCTGATCTATACCATAACCAAAACAACAAACAAAAACTATATGGTATTGGGAGAGAGTAAGGGAAGAGGTGACATTGTATAAAAAGAAATTTACTCTATCTGACTTATGTAACTGGAACCCCCTATATATCACCTTTATAATAATAATAAAAAATTTAAAACTGCTACAAGGAAGCCAGATATCAGTGGCTCACAACTATAATTCAAAGCCAGACCAGGCAGAAAAGTCCATGAGACTAATTAACCACCAAAACACCAGAAATGGAGCTATGGCTCAAGTGGTAGAGTACCAACCTTGAGGAAAAGCTAAAGGACAGTGCCCAGGTCCCGAGTTCAAACCCCAGAACCAGTATCAAAAAAAAGAAAAAAAAATCCCTTTATGGAAAGAGCAAAGAAGGGTCCCAATGAGGGCTTCTATGAAGCATGCCAGGCATGTTCAAGCAAGCAACCATGATGGAACCAAAGTTTCAAAGTTCTCTTTATGATCACCACATACAAAAAAAGGATACAATCGTGGAATGAGTTCCCTGATGGAAGCAATCTTGAAAAACCAATTCAGGCAAGTTTCCTTGGCTGTGTCATTTACATTCTCTGGGGAAAAGTGATCTGTAACACAAAACAGTCCTCATCAGTTCCCCTAGGTCCTAGTATCCTTACAGGCCTGAGTCCTGAGGCTGGACATTACTGCCAGACAGAAAATAGGGAGGGAGGTACAGTGCCTTTTCTTTCCTTCCAAACATCATCATCCTTGTTAGGAAACCATTGGTGGCAACTGCGTACATACATCTGCATGCACACATGCGCACACACATACACACAGAGCACTGTGCTCACTAAATCTCCTCCTGCCCCCCCACTGCCCACTCCGCCAGATCTGTCTGCCATCTTCTTTCCAGATGCAGAGGCAGAAGGGGAGGACGCAGGGAAGGTTAATAACATCCCTGGGACACACAAGCAGGCGTCTGGGCTTTGCAGCTACCGTGTCAGCCTCAGCTTCTACATGAGCCCTGAGGGGCTGTGCAAGGCAGTGCTGTGACAACAGCCTGGAGAATTAAAATCCTTCAGGAGTCTGCTCCCTCACAGGATATGTGAGCTTCTGCCCAAAGGATATTATGGGCTAGACCCAAAGGTAAATCAAGTGCCTGAGGTGAGAAAGTAGCCAGAGCTGCCAGCTCCATAGCGGTTCCAAGACTCAGGTCACCTTGCAGCCAAACTACCAGTTTATTTCAGTATCTACCCTCTTCCTTCTTAATAATAGAAGTCTCCCTTACAGCACAGCAAGGTCATGTGACCAAGTGCTGGGCCAGAAATATACAAGAGTACAACTTCTGGGAAGCATCTTTAAGTGAAGGCGTTTACCCTTCCTCCCTCCTTCCTACCTGCCAATCAGAATGTGGATACTAGAGCTGGAACCTCTGTAGTTACAATGGTCCATGAGGGCAACTAGATGACGTCAGGATCTCTGGTGCAATGGGCCAGCTGTCCTCCCACCCCCACGGCCCTGGCCTTTCTCATCATTTTTAATATACAGTCTTTCTTTTGAATTTAAAAACAAACAACAAAAAATTGACTTCTCAAGAGTTCGAGAACTGCTCTTGGAAAGAGATGAAAGAAAAGTAGAAAAAGGGAAGAAAACAGCACTATCAACATGGTGAAGGCAACTGCTCGTGTCTGGTGGAGGGGGAGAAGCAAAGACTGGAGACCCCTCCCATTGCTGAGTGTGTTTCCGTGCATTTAGGGTTCCATTAAGAAGGGAGAAATCAACTGCTTTGGACTTATAGCTTCCTGGCCTCCTTCTTCAGCCCCTGGAGGCTTGTGATCATGGTGGTGAGAATTCCTCTGCCATCAGCAGAAAAGATGACACTCAAGGCCCTTCTCCAGCAGGGATCTGCAGAATCCCCACGGCCACTTCCAGTGTTCAACAACTTCCGGGTGTCTAGCAGGCTTTGGTCACGCGTCACGCAAGAACTAGTCATTTTGAAATAGATGGGAAGGGACCACTTTCCCCTTCTTGACCTGAACCCATGCACAAAAAGCAACTTTTTTCCCCCCAGTTTCAAGAGTTTTCCACAGGAAAAGATGACGGTTATTTTTAAACTCACTTGTCACTCTTGTCTACAGGGAGAGGGAGGGGCAGTGTTAATTTCTCTTCATATGACTGAATCATGCAGATGGAAATCCAAAAACAAAACTAGACCTATGAGGTCATCTAGGCCGTCTTCCACTGCCCAGCTGAAGGATCCGAACCCAGGGCTTGGCCAGGATGGACTCAGCAGTGATTCCTGTGACCTCAAAGGCTAGAATGCTGGCTCTGGCAACTCTCCTGCACATGTGCACCAAGTGCCCGTGGCACACGATCCATAAACATTAGTACAGAGTCCAGGCTTTCCTTCCAGCTCAAGAGGTAAAGCACTTAACATCCTATGGCAAACTAAAGACTCTATTTGGAAGCTTTCATTCTGGGGTGGAAGATCAGGAACAAATACAAAACAGAAAAGACAGGCAACTGGTAAGACAATGGGACAGAAGTTGGAGAACAGGGCGCTGCAGTGGACACTAAACTTAAGTGTAAGCAGGGTAGGTGTGGTCGTTAGATAGGGTGGTCAGAGCAAGCCCTTGCAGAGCTGAACCCTGAGTTGGATACAGGAAATACATTCCAGGAAGTGGAAAAAAGTACAAAGGCCCTGAGGTAGGTACGACCTCAGCAGTGGTCCAAAATGAGAAAGCATCCTGGTACGATGGGCAGGCATGCATGACAAGGCAGGTCATACAGGGTGACAGCCTAGGTAAGACTGTTTCCTTCCAAGTCCCATGGAAACTCCTGGAAGATCCTTGGCAGAATGGTATGGTATGATGATTATTTATTGGCAGCACTGGGGCTTGAACTCATGGCCTGCACTTCCTAGGCAGGTTTGAGCCATGCTCCAGCTTATGGCAGGATTCACATTTTGGCACTTGGGCTGCTATATGGAGAAGGAATTCAGAATTTGGAAAATAATTCAGAAGAGACTAGGGTGCACAAAGAGCAGAGGGCGCCTCCTGCTTCCCACTTGTCTTTCTTGTGCAATGCTGCTTCTTTCAACCCTGAACTTCTGCAGTATGAAAGGAGGCAGCTCTGCCATCTGCAGAGAGAGAGCTTAGTGTGTGCCAAGAAGCATAGGCTCTGCCAAACCAGGTCTACCATGGGGCTGCTGAGAAGCACAACATGGCCCATCCAAGTCATCTCCTGGCTTAGAAAGAGAAGTACTTTCCCTCTCCAAATGGATGGCAGATTCACATTTGCCTATCGACAAATGTAAGGGAGGGGACAGCTTCATGTGTTTGCTGGATTGACAATTGTTAGAGGGAAGTGCGTTTCCCTCATCTTTTTTGTACTTTTTTGGGGGGATACTGTTGTAAAATAGGATTCCACTATGTAGTCCAACCTAGCCACCAATTCTGATCCTCCTGCCTCAGTCTCTCAGGTGCTGTGATTACAGGCATATGTCACCATGACTGCTCAATGTGTACTTTTCATAAACTCATAGATACTGGTATCTTTCCAGACTTCTAAGCCCTCAATCTTAGTTAAAACTCCTGAAGGCAAAGAGCCCAAGTATTAAATTCACCAACCATAACCTGATTCAAATGGAAAGAATGAGCACAAATGCCACCAGGCTTCTCTGGCTACATCATTTCTTTAGGCAGATTTTCAGAGTAGATTTCAGAGCTTTCTTCATAATCATGGCTAAGAGCCAGCCCCAACATCACCAGAAATCTTCAGCAAAGTCTACTTCCTTCCCCTTTTAGGTTCTGGGAACCAAAGATCAAAGTGCAGATGAAGATTTAAAATTAAATCTTAAAAGGCAAAAAAAAAAAAAAATTAGCAAGCAAGCAGAAGCCTGAGTTGGGTTACAGGGGGTGAAAATAAGATACCCGACGAAGGGAGAATTTTGGTAAATTGATAAATGCTAATTGATATTCTTAGACAAGGACTGAAGAGGTGTGCATACAAAAACAGCCTTTAACTCAATACTCAAAGGAGGGAGTAACTTACTAACAATTTTTCCTTATTTGGCCCTAAAACCTTTTTTGGTGGGAAAGGAAAATGATTATTGTGGTAGATGCAGATCAAATGCCTCTGGGGCTCAGGCAAGCCATATTAATGCTTTATTAGATTTTAACTTCCATGTTGGAAGGGGCTTTGTCTTTTCCACTAACACTGAACTCTAAGGAAGAGCTTGGTATCCAACAGCATTCAATAATTACTGGGTGGATAACATGAATGGATAAGTGAGATGGATAAATGGATGGATGGATGGACAGACAGATGGAAGGATGAATGACTGGGTGGGTGGGTGGATGAGATGGATAAATGGATGGATGGCTGAATGGGTCAGTGGGTGGTTAGGTAGGTAGATAAGAGGAAAGGGCAGAGAAGACAGGAAGAAGAAAGGGAAGGGAGGAAAATGAGAAGAACGTAGACTCAGTTTCCTGGGCTGCTGAGAAGATGGCTGTGAGGAGCAGAGGGAGGAGGGGTGACAAATGAGCGGACTTGCCTGCAGGAAAGCTCAGGAGTTAAGAGAGGATACAAAGAAAGCTGCAGCTGAGAGTCATGCCTCTCCAGACACGGTCATTATCAGATATGACAAAGGAAATTCATCATCCACTTATACCCATTATACCCTCCTGGGAATTTAAAATTGATTAACAATAAATTTAACACTTGGGTATAGATTGTCCATTCAAAGCATTGATTTATGTGAATAAAGTTTTCTTGAGTAATTTGCTTCTTGGGACAGGCAACTTTGCAGGGAACCAGCAGCATGCCAAGCGGTAGAAAGCACTGAGACGCTGGTAGTGTAGAAGCTTCATTCTAGTCCTTGGCATTCCAGCACATTCCCATCCCTCACCCCAATTTGCAGCTGGGCCCTTGGTGAACCTCCTAATGTTTTGGAAGACTGAAACACTGCCAAGTCTTCAAATGGGTCCTTTTACCTTAGCACATCAAAATCATTTCCTTTATCCTGGCAGTCAGACCTTGTCATAGCAACTTTGTGCATTACCTGGCAGGGTGCCGCGGCTGTCCATGCACATGGAGAAGATGCGCTCATAAACCAGCTTTCCTAAGGGAAGAGGACACAGGCTGTGCTTAGGGACAAGATGTCATCTCCCAGGCGAACCCTATCTTGTGGCAGGATGTTGCCACCTAGTGGACACAAGTTAAGATATCTCTCTTTTTCTGTAATACTGAGGTCTGAACTCAAAGCCTCACAATTCCTAGGCAAGAGCTCCACAACTTCAGCCTCACCCCCAGCTCCTCAGCTTCTAGGGTTTTGTTTTTTTCATACAGGGTCTCATACTTCCACCTGGGCTGGCCTCAGAACATGTCTTCCTACTTATACCTTCCAAGGTGACAGACACTCAGTAAGTTTTTGCCCAGACTGGACTTGAACTGCAATCTCTGTCTCCCAAGCAGCTGGGATTACAGGTGTACACCACCACACCTAGCTTCATACTACTAATGAAAGGGGATTTTTCTTCTGTGAGAGGAAGAAATGTGACATTACTACCTTCTGGATCTCTCTAAGGAGCCTTGGGTCTCTTGATGTATTTAACAGAACATGCTTGGCATTCTGCATTCGTTTTTAGGCCAGACCAAAAATGACAGCCCGTGGGCTGAGTTCAGCTGAGACCATGTGTTTTGTCCCAACTTTAATGGCCCACCAAGTGTTTATTCTTTCAAGTCCCAATGACAATGAGCTCCTGGTTCCAGCAGTACTTGAGACCAGTCCTGAAGTTTTCAGCATAGTAAGCCAATAAACACCCCACACACCCATTTCCCAGGCTGATTAGGGGTTCTGTCATTTCTCAGAGCTAATTCACCCAGGCCCCCATCTCCTAGACAGGCCTGACTCAGTCTCCAACTGAGTTTATTTTCTGACAGGTTAGCTCTGCTGATAGGACCTGCTGGGTTGGGAGCCCTCAACACTCCTTGCCTCTGCCCAGACCCTGGCCCTCAGAGGATGGATGGCAGCACTGCCTGGTCCTTTGGGTCACCTTCCTGTAACAGTCATGGATAGGCCAGGAAGGGGAGTTGCCTGGGTTGGGAAAACTGCCTGTGGCATTCCTAGGGGCCTCCTGCAGCTCTAAGCTATGGGCCTCAGTTTAAGATATTCTTCCTGGTTATAAAAAAACTCTGCAAGGGTCTTGTAGTGGGGACCCAGGCAGGCAAAATGCAGCATGAAGGCCTTGGTAAGGTCCAGGCAGAAGGCTTGGGATGGGTGAGCAGGGAGAGCTTTAGGAGGCTGAGCTGCAAGCCATAGGTGTCTGGACACAGGGGTATGACACTGACAGCTCTCAAACCTGAGCAAAGGGTTACATGGCAATGCTACTCCCTGAGACAGGGACCTTGTAAGGCAGGGAAAAGGCCGAGAAGACAGGCCAAGTCCAGTGCCACTGTCCATCTGAAACATCTCCCAGAGGGCCATGTGCTGAAGTTTGACTCACAAGCTTGACACTGTTGTAAGGCAATGGGCCTTTAGGGGAGGGGAGACTTAAGGGGAGGTCTTTAGGTCACTGGGGGTGTGGCTTCAAAGAGAGAGTGGGATTCCCGCCCCTTGTTCACACTTTTTGCCTCCTGGCCATGGGATTTGCTCTGCCACAGGCTTTCACTGGGATGTGCTGCTCTGGCAGAGCCCAGCCAAAGACCCACCAGATCACACACTGGACCTCTAAAACTCAAGTAACCCTCTTGAGGGCAGAAGGTGACTAACAGCCAGTCATGAACACTGAGGGTTCCAGATGCCCCGAGGTGACAGAACGTGGCTCACAGCGACCCCTACTGGCCTATCCACCTGGTCAGCCTAAGGCAAAAACCAGCACCCGAGCTTCTCCCAAACAGCCCCACTACAGCGGGACAACACTCAGGGCCCATGACCAATGACAATTTACTGAATATTTCAATGTAGCTGCAAGTAGCTGGCATTAGAAAGTTCCCAGCACAAAAAATGTTAAGTGACTGAGGTAATGAACATGCAGCTCCCTTCCCCGATCACTACACACTGAACGCCAGAACTGACATGTACAATTACAGATGCGAATTAAAAACATTACAAAGAGAAGAACCTTTGACAATGGGGCTGGGTGAGTTGGGTCCCCTCAGGACTTTCCTACTTCACAGGGCAGAATCTAACTGCAAGCAGGTGTTCTGGCTAGTTAGCACTTACCAAAGGTGTCAAGGATGTCAGTGATGAGGACAAACTTGCTGGGGTAGAACTGAATCACGCTCGTGTCTGAGAGGAGCTTGGAGCACTGCGAGAGAGGACAGGATGATTCACCTGGCACGCCTCTCACAGCTGGGCTCTGGGTACACATCATCAATGGCTCCCACTAACCAGTTAAGGGCTGGCTGCGAGCCTGTGCTAGGCAAACAGTGCTTCTGATACACAGACTCCAACTGCTCACAGACAGCCTACTAAGGAAGATTCTGGAAAGCCATGAACAAGGAAGACTCATTGGGAAGCCTCCACCTCCAATGCACCAGGCTCAGCCTTCAACACCACTCTGCCTTCCCATGACCAATCTGATGCTCCAGCTTTCCAGCTGGCCTCCTCTGCTTTATTCCTGCTTTGTCAGGATCCGCCAGGCAAGTACACCCCCAAATCTGTCTCTGTTAATTTAAACGCTCACTCCTGATTCTCCTTGAAGGTGTTTCTCTACATGCTGGCTGCATTTCGCCTTGCCAGGCACTGGCAATCCCTACACTGCCCCCACAGCAGAGCCCTAAGCACCCCACACTGACATCTTGTAGAACCACAGACAGCAATTTCTACTTTGAAGAACTATGCTTAGCACTCCGAAATTTTGAGATTTTGACCACACATCAATCACTCCCACAGTAAACCTTGGAGCGATTCTGGCCGAGATCTTTACAAAAAGTAGGAGCTGTTTTCCTTGCAGGACTTGACTCGCTCAAGTATCAGTGTATCAATACTCTCCTAAAAGTATAGACCTGCTTTCCCTAGCGCAAAATTCTAGAGAATGTCTTTAAAATCCATCTATCAGACATGCTATTAGTCCTTAACTTGCCAGGCCAACTTGATCAAGAGTCCTGGTGGAGGAAACCTGAGATCGCACTGCTTATTCTACAGTGTACACAAATCAGAGCCAACATACTGCCTCACCTAGGGGAATCAAAACTTTGTAATCCAGGGTCACAGCTGCTTCCTGGAATTGGACAGTGTTCAACCTGTGCAGCTGCACATAGTGGCCCTGGGGCTCATGACCTCATGAACACAGTTTCACCATCATGGCCTTTCACATCAAGTATGTGAAGACAGGACAGATGAATAAATGTCAAATCCTACAGACAGGCTGCTACAAACCCAACGTGAGAAGTTTTAGAAGGAAATCTGTGGGGAGGTGGGCAATGTCACCCCATCCCCCCCACCCCATCCCCCGGACCTGGATGACTATTTTCAGAGCCTTCACTTTCTGGTCCGAGGCCCAGGCATCCTTCAATGACTGGTTGAGCTCCTCTATGCGGTTCACGTAGTCCTGCTGAGTCAGGTTCAGCAGCTCCTTCTGGGACCCCTGTGTGGAGAGGCAGAGGTGTTGGCAGAGGGAAACAGGGAGCCTGTCTGACCCCTGACTCTCTTCGGAACAGCTGGGTTCTGGCTGTTTTCTCCCTGTCCACAGTCCTCCACACATTGATGGCCCTGGGTTTTCTACCCAGAACAGGGAGCCAGGCCCAAGCGGCCCAGCTCAGCCACCACCACGGCTGACTGAGCAGTGTCCGTGCCCCTGCACTTGCTCTCTGTGGATTGGCACAGCACCCATATCCCTGCTTACTGGGAGTAGCAGGAGTGAGGCTCAATGCAAAGTTCAACAGACATGGTTTCACTCAGGATACCAGGCAACATTCTTCTCTGCACTCAAGGAGCTGATGGTACAGAAGGCCAGACGCCTGCAGTAGTCAGGGTGAATGCATTCAAGGCACCCGCTCTGCCCAGATCTGGAACTGGAGACTTAGGGGACCACAGCTATGCACTGGCTTAATCAAGGAATGAAGCACCCCTACCCTCCACAAGCTCCCCACCAACACCAGACAGAATAGACGGCTTCTCACCTCCTCAAAGTCATCCAGCTCCTCCAGCCGCGTGCGGACTTTCTCTGACATGGCGGACCCAGCCGCTCCCGCTCTTCCTGCACAGGAGGCACACTGGTCACACACACCGCTGGCTTTCCTCTCGCCCAGCTCCAACCCTTCCACCACCAAGAATGGCATCCTTTAAGTAAATGGCATCCTTCAATCTCCAGCTCCAGGCAGAGATGGCAGAGGGTTCATTGCAGAAAAGACTACCTCCTGTGTAGCAAAGCTCCAAAGGATTTCCACTTAGTGGCCACACTACCAGGAGTAGAGCTGCCTGGGGAAGGGGATCCCCCACATTTGGGTTTCATGAAACTGCACTCTTGTTCTCTCCAAGTGAGAAAGGGTGCCAAAAGCCCTTGTGTCACCATTTGCCTCAGGCCTATCTTCAGCATGACATGTTTGCCCCAAACCAGCTAAGCAACTTCCCTGTGTGCCAGAGGGGGGCTTGAAAGCAACAGAGCCAGATGGCTTTATCCCAGCATCTACTACCATAGTTGCTGCCACACTGGCAGGGGCCAGAGGACAAAGGTGACAGCTGCCCTCAGTCCCACCTTCTGGCCTGCAGTGCGGCTTCCAAAATACACACTACATGGCTTATGAAGAGCAGAAAGCCCTTCCTCACATCTTGGAAATCTGGCCAGTTCAAGATGAAGGTGCCAGTGGGTTCAATGTGTGCAGAAGTCCTAGCTTATGCTTCCTAAATGGCATGTGAATTCCCTGGGCCCTTCATGTAAGGACACAAACCCACTCATGAGGACCTTCACAACCTCATGATATCCCTGAAGACTCTGACTAAAACCATCCCCTGCGGCTGTGCTATCTCTACCTGCAGAACAAGAGTGGGAAGAGGTCATGTGTCATTTGTCATATCCCAAAAGCCACCCTCACCTGTATCCTAGCAGGACAGGATTTATCAACATACTAACCAAAAGGAAACTAAGGGCTGGCAAGGTGGCTCAGTGGTAGAGTGCTTGCACAAGAGGCCCTGGGTTCGATTCCTCAGTACCACGTAAACAGAAAAAGCTGGAAATCGTGCTGTGGCTCAAGTGGTAGAGTGCTAGCCTTGAGCAAAAAGAAGCATCAGGGACAGTGACAGGCCCTGAGTTCAAGCCCCAGGACTGGCAATAAAAAAGGAAACAAAGGAAAGGTCAAAGGAATTGTGGAGTCCACTCTTGCAGTGCTGATTCAGCAAGGAGGGGGCAGCATTCCACGCACAAACTTTTCAAGCTTTTCCTGCTCCTTGTGCTCCACTGGGGAGCCTATCCCACAACACTTAGGAACAGTCTTAGAAGGGGAAATAGAACAGTTGCTTTCAGGGCCCCAAGAACCAGGATGTCCACACTTTCTCGAGAGGAAAACTTAATGAGGCAAAGGAAAGGTATAAAGCAGCCCCCAGCTGGTGGGGGTGTTCCCCTTGTTCTTTATGTCCCCAAAGACAACAGGACACCTGTCTTTTACTCCTTGGCCTCTATCAGGCTCTAAGCATATATTTTTATTCTCCATTGTATTGATGGAGTTTTACAGTTTTACAGCTTTAATGAATTAGAAATGAGGACTGTATAATACAAACTATTTTCCCTTTCGCAAAATTATACTAAATGCAGCAAATTTCCCAGCAAAACAAGAACAAGAACTGATCATACCTTTGTCAGATCCCATAAATAGATTCTGCAAAGACAAAGAATCCATGAATATTGTCTCAACATAAAGTAACAGAATCACTGTTTCTCCACAAAGCCATATATGTGTACTCAAAGAAGGAGGAAGAAAATAGTCAAAGGAGGAAATGTGAGGTCTCACTTTCACCTCACATGAAAGCTCTCAGGTGAGCCAGCAGACCCCAACATCTGCCGTGTCAGCAGTCACCTAACAGAATATGAGTGCCTTTCCCATTTCTGCATTGTAGTCACTCTGGGCGGGGTCACCTTGGAGGGCTGTCCTGGATACTGAAAGGTATCTGAGGGCCTCCCAGGTCTCCACCCCCAGATGCAGGGCAGAGGGGTGAAGGGCTGCCGCTGTGATAACCAGCTCTCTAGACTTTTCCACAGGACTCTGAAGTGGACTCTTGTGGAAACCACTGCTTAGACTCACTGTATGTGTTCAAAAAAAGGAAAGATGCAAAACAATCCAACAATTCAGCCTGCATGTCACTCTGCTGTTCCCTTCCTTCCCCACAGGAAGAGGGAGGTGGTAGAAGGTTCCACTTCCTGGCTTCCCTTGCAGCTCCCCATACCCACCCACCCTCCCACCCCCAGCCCCCTTCAAGACTAAGTCCAAAGAGGGGCACCAGTGGCTCACGCCTGTAATCCTAGCTACTCAGGAGGCTGAAATCTGAGGACTGCAGTTCAAAGCCAGCCTGGGCAGGACTTTTCATGAGACTCTTATATCCAATAAACCACCAAAAATGGGCTGGGAAGGTGGCTAGTGGTAGAGTGCCTGCCTTGCATGCATGAGGCCCTGGGTTCAATTCCTCAGCACCACATAAGCAGAAAAAGCTGGAAGTGGTAGAGTGGTTCAAGTGGTAGAGTCCAAGCTTTGAGCTGAAGAGCTGAGGGACAGCGCCCAGGCCCAGAGTTCAAGCCCCACAATCGACTAAATAAATAAATAAACCACAAAAAAAAACTGGTGCTGTGATTCAAGTGGTAGAGTCCAAGCACCCAGGCCCAGAGCTCAAGCCACATGACTGACCCCGCCCCAGCCCCCCCCCCCCCAAAAAAAAAAAGACTAAGTCCTACAGGAGGCCCCTGAATGGAAGAGTCCACTTTGTCCCCTTTCTTCCATCCATGAAGTCTAATTTCAGCACAGCAGCAGGATAGAGAGCCCCTCAGCCCTGCACATCCACTCTGCCTCCTTCCCTCTGAGCCTCCTCCCTTCCGAGCCTCCTCTCAGAAGAGAGAGACAAGTGCCACGCCTGGTTCCTTCACTGGGGAGGACCTAAATTGCCACAGGCTCACCTGCTTCCCTGGGTGGGAAGCCCTCTCCCAGGGGAGGGGAAGCCACCTGCCCCACACATGCACAGCCATCCTATGAAAGCCAATTGCCTCGCCTGGGGCCAGTGAACTTCCAGCTGCAGGAGGACATGCTGCGGCCTAGGATGCAGTGGTGGCACCCAGTGCCCTTCAAGGGGACTCCACTACTCTAATTCTGCTCTAAACCAACCTCCTCCTGATTCTCACCCCTGATCTCCCACCCACCCGACAGGAGGAGCTGGGCAGCAGCAGGGCCTCGGGTACTCACAATAGAGAGCCTCTCAGTGGTGGTGTAACGGGCCAGGATTTCCCCCCGCTTGCTGGCCCAGGGCTCAAAATCCGATCCCACCATGGAGCTGTCATCCTGGTCCCGCTTCTTCCTGGCGCTGTCCTGAGGAGCAAAACACGAAGATGTCCCTTTAGTACAGGCTGTGGCGGGAGGCCCTGCCCCCAGGGTGGGGCAGATCATCTACAGGTTTACAGTGCTGCAAACATCAGTTCGGGTCTGCAAACATCATTTTGGGTCATTTCACTAGAAATGGCCAAGAGCCACAGCTCACAAAGGAAAGGAAATTGAACAAAACCACTGTTCTACTGCCCAAACAGCAAGGCTGAAACCACTACTGACAGCAGTGCCAAGGAGCAGATGGAGTAGGGACAGGTGAGGCCCAGGTGCAGGATAGGCTGGTACCATCAGACCCTTCTCGCATACTGCCCTCCCCCAGCAGTGCTCTGCACATGGGCACCAGGACGGAGGAATGTTCAAGTAACATTACTGGTAAGACAGCAAACCCAGAACTTCCTGTGTAGGCAGTGGAAGAACATGTTAGTGCCATACCTGGTTCTTACAACCCAACATGACCATCACAAATGAGATTGTGACCAAAAGCAACACAGGAAGTTTCCCCCCATAGACCATCAAGCCAAAATCAAGTGCAAAAGATAGATGGACTTCTATAAAAACTCTCTTGCGTGAGAGAGCAATATGAAGTGGAAGCTAAGTGCAGGTTCTGGAGTGGCAGCTGGCCAGGTCCTGGCATGGAGGTGACTTGCCCTCTCAGGCTGGCCATGCCCACCTCCTTAAATGAAGAACCAACAGACAGGATGCGGTGCTGTTCTGTGCAGATGCACACATCAGCCAGCCCCTTAGGTAACCACAGAGAAGGCAAACTAGCATTGAGTGTAGCTCAGAGGCAGAGCTCTCCACAGCTTGCACAGAGCCAAGGTAGATCCCCAGCACTGCCAAAAAAAGCATGAAAATAATAAATACATTTTGCTGGGTGCTGGTGGCTCACGGCTGTCATCCTAGCTTCTCAAGAGGCTGAGATCTGAAGATCATGGTTCAAAGCCAGCCTGGGTAGGAAAGTCCGTGAAACTCTTATCTCCAATAAACCACTCAGAAAACCGGAAGTGGCGCCATAGCTCAAGTGGTAGAGCAGTGCGCCTTGAGCTGAAGAGCTGAGGGACAGCGCCTAGGCCCAGAGTTCAAGCCCCACAACTGACAAAAAAATAAAATAAAATACATTTTAAGATGTTTCAAAAATAAAGAGCTGGGCGCTGATGGATCATGCCTGTAATCCTCGATACTTAGGAGGCTACGATCTGAGGATTGTGGTTTGAAGACAACCCAGCTAGGAAAATCTGTGATACTCTTCACCCCAATTAGCCACAAAAAGAAAAAAAAAACAAGTGCCAGAAGTGGAGCTGTGGCTCAAGTGATACAGTACTAGCCTTGACCAAATAAAAGCTCAGGGACAGTGCCCAGGCCGAGTTCAACTAGAGCAACCAGAGCACAGGACAGTGCCGAGGCCCAGGACCAGCACAAGAAAGAAAATAAAAAAGACTGACTTGGATATCTCCCCTTCTTGCCTCTTTAGCCAAGACCCTGGTAAAACTGGATTGACATGGACTGTCACAAACACAACTCCCTGCACATGAATTGTACATCCTCAAATGGAAGCCCACCTACCCACACACACCGGTGGCCAGGGCACATTACCGTGGCTGCTGCTACAGCTGCGGGGTCAGCAGTGGCTGCAAACATGGAGAGAGGGTCCGTGCCATCGAGGACGCTGCTCAGCGGGTCTACCACAGAGCTGGAGGAAGAGGAGGATGTGGATGACGTGCTTCCTTTCCGGCTCACCTTCTTTGTTTTAGATTCTGTGACCTGTGGGGAAGTTTGTGGAGATCCTGTCACCTCCCCTTGGTCACTCACAGGGTCCCTTCCTCTTCAGGAAGGGAAGGCAAGGTATCAAAACCGACACCTTGGTCTTCCAGACACTGAAAGCTTTGCTCCCATACATATAAAGGGCTCAGACTCCATTTATTTTCTTAACATGTATTTATTGTAAAGATACTGTATAAAGGGGTTACAGTTACACGAGCAAGGTAATGAGTACATTTCCTATCAAGCATTGTTACCCCCTCCTTTGTTTTTCCCCTACCATCCCTTCCCTCCCCACCTCCCCAACTTCTCCCTTCCTCAGACTCCATTTATTTATTTATTTATTTTTTTGTCGGTCGTGGGGCTTGAACTCTGGGCCTGGGCGCTGTCCCTCAGCTCTTCAGCTCAAGGCGAGTGCTCTACCACTTGAGCTATAGCGCCACTTCCGGTTTTCTGGTGGTTTATTGGAGATAGGAGTCTCAAGGTCTCTCCTGCCCGGGCTGGCTTTGAACCGCGATCCTCAGATCTCAGCCTCCTGAGTAGCTAGGATTACAGGCGTGAGCCACCAGCGCCCGGCTCCTCAGACTCCATTTATAGGGCGGAAAAAACAAAAACAAAAAAACTGACACCTTGACTTATCAATATGCAAGGGGGTGGGGGTGGGGCTTACTTTTTGTGACAAGCACCATGAATGCTAATCACAGCTGTCTGGGAAGGGAAGGCAGGGAGTTAGCTAGGAAGGTTTGAAAAATTACTTGGAGGCCATTGAAAGGCAGGCACAATAGGACTAGGGGCAGCCTAGAAGCCTCTACGATCCGCTCTCCTCAGCATTATCATAGTTGACTTACAAGCAAATCATTGATCCTGCAAAATGGATGTTGCCAAAACTGTAACCAGACAAGAGACTCCACACAAAGATCCAAGAAGAGCCTGAAAATGACCTTTTCAGGCTTAGCCTCTATCCAGAATTTCACACACAGGGACTGCAGTTCACACAGCTACGCATGCACACAACCTTCCTTCACTTCTGTAAGGAGCCTCTCTGTGGGCAAAGAGCCACCCCAGACCTGCTCCATCTCAGTTCTGCCCTCCCCAGACCAGCACAGGGGCACTGACATTTCTCAGGAACCACCAGGCCATCTGCCTGGCAACAGTGGTGCAGGCAAGTCATGAATCAGCATGTGTGGCCTTCCACAACTGTGGACCTTGAAAGCATTCAATAAGAACTTTGCAGCCAGGCACTAGTGGCTCACCCCAAGCACCACCCAAAAGAATCCTGCCTGTGTATACACACCTCAGGTCTCTAGCCTGATTTTTTTTTTAACATCAACAGGTAGCTATGATGAGTACTGATTCTCCGTGTTCCAAAGAGAGAAATCTAGAAGCAAAGTGTAGTTTGCTGACACATCCAAACTGGGGCGCCTGTTCCTCACCAGGCCTCACGGACAGGAGAGCAGGGAATGGAAGGGATGATGGTGTGATGAGCTGAGTGGTAGGCAGCTGAGCTGCCTGAGGCGAAGGGAAGAGGCAGAAAATGTTTTATCCAAGTTCTTGAGTCAATACAACCTCAGAGCCTTAGGGTGTTCACTGAGCCTTGGGGGAAGGGGAATCACCAAGCACTGGGGGTGCTCACCATGATGGGCTTCAGCGGGTGGTAGTCACCACACTCCAGCTGCACGGACTCCAGGCGGCAGGATGCCAACTCTGCCTTGTAGTTCCGGTTCCTGGAGTGCCTGCAGCAAGAGAACAGGGTCAGCTCAGAGATGGACACACCCAGACCCAGCAAGAGATGGTGACCAGCCTAGGAGCTAGGCCTGAGGCCCAACGGACAATGATTGTGTCCTAGGTGCTGGGTTCCAAACCTCTACTCCCCCGTGGGCAGAAGGACTTTAAGTTAACTCTTTCAACTGCCTCCATTTTCTCACCTGAAAAACTAACATACGAGGAATTAAGGCTAAGCACTGTGTGGGTCACCAAACAAGAGCTTGACAGGTGTAAATTCCATGTTCTCTGCAGGCCTCCTCCACTTCAAAGTTCCTGGGCACCTGCCATCCTGCTCCAGGCTCTGGCAATAACACGGATGGGCAACACCCTCTCTCCTTCCCCTCTCCCCCTTCCTCCAGCACTGTGATTTGTGATCAGGGCTCAGCTTGCTCTACTACTTGAGCCACACTCCTTTTGCTTTTGTTTTCCAGATAGGGTCATGTTCTTTTGCTTGGGACAGCTTCAGACAGATAATTCTCCTCCTGAGTGGCTGGGATTACAGGTGTGAACTATCACACTCAACCCTGAGCCCTGATTCTTTTAAAGGGGGAACACATTTGTGGGAAAACTGAAAGACAAACATGCAGGGACCACACAGAAATGCTTAACACATGGCCTGTTAGGAACTCTGAAGACTCTAGACACTCATAGGGATGTGATATCTGTTTCTAAAATTCCAACAAACTGGATGTTGGTGGCCCACAGTGTAGTCCTAGCTACTCAGGTGGTTGAAATCTGAGGATCTTGGTTAGAAGTCAGTCCATCAGGGAAGTTTCTGAGATTCGTATCTATCATAATCAAAAAGCCAGAAGTGGAGGCGTAGCTCAAAGTGGTAGGGCACCAACCTTGAAAGAAAAACCAAGTGAGAGCCCCAGGCTCTGAGTTCAAGGCCCAGTACTGACTGCGATACCTTTCCGGGAGTTTCTCATGTTTTGGGAGCTTAGGTCTTACTCATTTCCCAAAAGGCACCGGCCACTTGTCAAGCCCCAAGGCCATTTCAAAGGAAGCTAAAGGAAGCTGAGGGCGTGAGGGGCCTTTGAGGCAGTTGCTCGCTCCCGAATAATCCCAGTGTCCTGAGGTCCCCTCACACACATGGCTATTTCAGAGCCCTGCTGCCTGACACCTCGGAGCACGCCACTCCCTTCTCCCGAGCTCCTACTCGCCCCTCAAGACCCAGCTTCAGGAGTGCTTCTCAGCCCTCTCGGGCGCCCAGCGGCTTCCCCGGAGGCCCGGGCGCGAGCGCAGGCCGTGCACACCGGGGGACGCGCAGGGCCACTTGACAGCCGAGGCTGGGCTCGGGGGCACGGAGGCGGCCCGGGCGGGCGGCGGGCTGTCCGAGCTGCCCCGAGCCCAGCACCGGGCCCGGCCCCCGCCAGCCGCCCCGGGGGCGCGCAGGGACGCGGGGCCTGAGGGCCGGGGGTAGCCGCCGCAGGGACAGACCCCCATAGACCAGCGCTCCCGCCACCGCCTCCTTACCACGGGAACGCGGCCATCTTCCCCGTCACGTGACCGCAGGCACGGGACTGCTCTCCCCTCTCCCTTCCGGACGTGCCCCGCCCCGTCCGCCCGCCATGATAGGCAGGGCGGGTGCCGTAAAGCGAACCTGGACACTGTCGTGCGCGGCGCCATGTTTACTGGGGGCCGGTGTCGTAAAGGGATCCGAGACGCTGTCGTGCGCCCGCGCTTGGCGGCGGGTCAGAACTGCGCGGTCGCGCTGCTCACATGCGCCCCCTCGAGGCGGAGGGACAGGCAAATACTAGTGGAAAGTGGCCGCTGACGTCGGGGACGGGTGCGGGGAGGGGGAGAGGGGAGGGGGGAGGGGGAGAGGGGAGGGGAGGGGAGGGGGAGAGGGGAGGGGAGGGGAGGGGGAGAGGGGAGGGGCCGCCTTCCCTGGAGCTTCCTCCAGCGCCCTGGCCTCGGTAAGCACAAAACACCAAACCAAGATTCCTTTAACATCAAGTTTATTTTTTGCCTTTGCCAAGAAGCAAACCTAGTGAAAATTAAAGTATAAAAATAAATACAATTTACATGAATGAACACTGCAGTCAAAGAAAAATAACAAAAATAATGTATATAAATAAATTCCATCAAAAGCAAAAAAAAGTGTCTGGCACTTTTGTAAAAAGTTGTTTTATAAGAAGACATTAAAAAACTGTAAAACACACACTTCTATCTTCAGGACCACATTCGGTTTCTTATCCTTAACCTAACAAGCTATTGTTTTAGCTAATTTGCATTACTATGCCCAACATTTTTAATGTCTGTCCTAAATAAAGAGGCCTGAATGGAAAAGCTATAGCCTGAGTCTCAAAATGATAAAGCATGGTTTATCACATTAAAAAGATAAAGCATGGTTTATCACATTAAAATGATGAGATAGTTCGTTTATAAATTTAAAAATTAGTAATTTGGGCTTTTTTTTTTTTTACTGTTTTATAATTTCCCAGTTCACTCAGTCAAAAAATGATGAGTACTAATAAAGAAAATCAGGTTTACCCCAGGTTTACTTCCAGACCACAGCTGGAGTCAAAGTGAGCTCTCAGGAGGAACAGAAATTGGAGCGAATACTCTGCATATCCTATTCCTCAGGGATGTGTGTGTGTGTGTGTGTGTGTATACACACACATATGTATATATGTGTATATATGTATATATATATTTGTGTGTATATATATATACACATATATGTATGCTGTATTTTCAAAATACCAGCAATTGTCTAAAATTCAAGGTAACAATATTGAACACGCCCAGTCCCAATCTGAGGTGGGCATCACTGAGCCCTTTTTGGAAACTAAGGTAGTAGGGAGAGAGTCTGTCTGAGGAAGCCATGTTCCTTTGGAAACATTTTCTGGGCAATACCCATCTGAGCGATGAACTCAGCCTAAGCATCCAGGCCTTTCAGTGTGGGTGAGACTAGGCATCTCAGCCCACTGCTGAATTGTAAATTTAGGATCATATAGCCCTTTGTGTTCCTAAACCGCTCAGCATTCAAGAAAAAGTTAAGTCAGGGACATAAAGTAGGCAGACCAGAGAATCTCTGAGCTTTTGGGGAGCCCTGCATTCCGGAAGAGGCCATGCTGCTCCCCAAAAGACCCCCTGTACAGCCACTGCTTACAGACACTCCTTGACAAGAGCATGTGCTTCTGACCAAAACTGACCCACATGTTTGCCCACATGATTATACCATAAGCCAAAAAGTGAGATTCTGAGTATTCAAGTTTACAAGAATGAGAAAACAATAATTTCCCTTTGACTAGAACAGTTTCTAATTCATGAATTAAGCAGTCAGTATGAAGAAATGAATGCAACTTACCCAAAGTGGAGCTGTGGCTCAAGTGGTAGAGTGAGTGCTAACCTTGAGCACAAAAGTTCAGGGACAGTGCCCAAACCCTGAGTTCAAGCCCCAGGACCAGCAGAGAGAGAGGAGAGAGGGAAGAGAGAGAGAAAAAACTTGCATATGGATGCAATTACCTTTCAATGCTTACTTCTGATTTTAAGTTTTTTTTTTTAAATAAATCCAAATGTCCTTTTTAAGTTACAAAAGGGTTCTCTGTAGACACCTGGGCACACAAAATATACTTGTGTTTTTATACGTTAAACACAGAGAAGAGACAATTACTAAACATGAATCTGTCTCCATCCACACCAAATGTTACAGGAGATGGGCAGTGAACCAGCACTAGCCAGACCGACCAAACTATCAGGTGACTGCTCAGACCTTTGCTGTCAATTTGCCGGGATAAGACAGTCTTGGACAGGAAAACGACCTGGACAATTGTCCTCCCCTAGTTGTCACCCTAGTGAATGCTGTCTTCTTAAATTGTCGCAACATTTGGCCGCTTTCTTTGGGTTTTTCCTGCATATACTCCTAGAAACAGAACAAAATAGTCATTCTGTTAGAAATTCCCCATGATACCAGCTAATGAGTGCTTACTGTCTACCAGGCCAGGGGCCAAGGGTGGGTATTCTCTACAGTGACCTTGAGGTGACTCCTGACACCAGCCTGCTACCTGCCTCCGCCCTGAGCCTGACCTGGCCATCCCAGTATGGATCTCCTCACTGGACCAGCCATGCTACTTGCCTGCACGCCACTTCTTACTCTGCTTTGATGAATGGCTTTGGAATTTCACTACATACAAACTCTAGTCACACACAAAATAATGAATGAGGTGACATTTTAAAATGAATGACATCAAATTGAAATTCATCCTGAGTAAATGAAATAATTCTCCATGCTGTAGCATTCTTTAACACTTAGAACTCTGTCCATCCATCTGTCCAGGATGTGGAATGCCATCATCATGACAGAAGTCAGTTTTCAGAAGTCACTTAACCCAGACTTCAATCCTCATGTAGAACTGACCAAAGCTTCATTCTACATTTGTTTAAAACCTAATTAATAATTGGAGCAGGAAACGAACTCTTTTCCAGAGCAATCATAGACTCTTGTGTGCACTACTGCAGTGACAGTCCAGAGAAAACCTCGCTTCCAGGCTCACTAACTGCACAGCATGTCAGTAGTGACATGGCTGCTGTGTCTGCCAGGCTCACTGCACTGCTGGCCAGCACCCCCATGGTGCTGGCTACCCAACACAAGCCTGCTCAGGAGTGACACATGCAGAGGTGAAATGTACGAGAGAGCATGAGAGGCCACTGTGACAAATGATGATATAAAACACTGTGAATGAATTCCAAAATGACTTTCCAACCAGCTAACACTGATCACTTTAATGTGTAATGCTACCTAGGGAAAGAGAACCTGGAATGTCTTAGCATCCCCAGAAGAACATGGGGTATGGTCTAATTCTCATAAATGGTTATCTTCCAGATTGGCTCATAAGCCAGCAGGATCCACAGCTCCAATGATGGTCAAGCACAGTGATTTCAACAGATGACCTTGAATTACTCTTTCTGTGTGCAACATCATGAATTTTAGTCAGCACGTACCTGTGAAAGGCCAGCAGTGGCTTCAAAGTCACCACCAACAGCTTGTCCCCTCTGAGCACTTATGTGGGTGAGTGAGACAGCACGCACATTACACATGCTGCTTGCTCTCCGGCCTGGAGGTCACTTACTCACACAAGTTCCAAATTTTGCCTAATTGGTTACTAATGGGAAGATCAGAATTAAAGGTTTAATCTTCATTTAGTCTGGTGATTAATTTAGCTGCCTTTTACATGTTTAGAAAGCAGTTTAGTTAAAGCATAGCATTTTCAAGATATTTTTTAATGGATCACATAATTCCCAGTGAGTTTAATCACAATGTCTTAGCAAGACACCTAATAATCGTGGAAGCATTTGATTAGGAGCGGGCTGGGCTGGGCTGGGCACTGAGGGGCCTCCTTGCCACCTTAAGTGGATCTTAAATCACGGGTCCTCATGTAAGCTTCAGCTGCCTCTAATGAGGAAGAGAGGAGACTGCTCAGGCTGTGTACAGGACACAATGGCTGTAGTTCCAAGGAGGGAGATGCCCCTCCCTCCACAATGTCAGGTGCAGGTTCAAAGGCTCTGGGAGACATGCTGCCCTGAGCCCACAGACTGCTGAAGGCTCATTAGCTCTTCCTCTTTTAGAAAAGGGCTTAGGTTAAGCTTGGAGAATTCTAGTTTTTTTTAAAAAATAATAATATAGTCATAATCATATTAACATGTTTTCCACAGAATTACTCCAGATGTTAACATTGGGACTGCAGTTTCTCCCATTTCTTGGCTACCACTAAACACTAACACAAAGGATCTGACAGGAATGCCATGAGTATGCCCTGTGGTGGCAAGGAGGGATGCAGGTGGACCAGGCTTCTGTGAGATGGCTTTAGGAGCTGGCTTCTACACACCTGCAACAGGCGCTCTGTTAGGCACTCTGCTCTGGGAAGGCTTCTGTCTATTTTGCACACCCCCCTTCACTGATGTCTTAGGGGTTCTAATTGAATATAAAAACATTAATGAGTCACTTCCAATTCGAGTCTCCATGTTCAAATTTCAAAGAAAGCCACCACCCCAAACAACAGTTCCAAGTCTCATGCATGTACATAGTAGGGCTATGCTTTGCTTCCGCATGCACACAGTAGGGAGAGCCACACCTTGGTTCATGCTTTGTTGGAGAATCACTCTGATAAAGCTAAATTTATCACATGAATACTCTTCAATAATTAATAAGATGGTATGAAATGAAAAGCAAAACATGCTAATGGTATGTTGATATGGTATGATTAACTATGATATAGTACCCAACAGTACAGCAAGAGGACTATCTTTGAAGAAGAAGATTTGGAAGCTCTTCCCTGTGCTGTGAAATGCACCCCATTTGGAAGCAGTTGTCCCCTCTAGAGAACACAACAGTCATGGTTATCCCCCGAAGCCAATCTCCACTGCTGTACATCCCTCAGGAGGGGCACTCTTACCCTTGTCTACTAAGCAGCCGATGAACAGGTGCATTCTGTCCTTGGTTTGGCTGGAGGATTCTGATGAAAAGAATTAAACAAATTAATTTGAAAGTATAGACCCCATGTTCCCCCCATTCTTTCAACGGATGAAAGATACCGCTGTTGAGGTT